AGCCAAGCAAAAGTCAGGGTTGTGCAACATCTACACCTAGAGGAACTTCGCTTGCTCGTCACGTAGTCGCATCAATTTCCGCAGGTCATTACGAAACATCACCTCTTGGTGAAGCCGCAAAACCTCATCTAGCGGACGTGTGGCTGCGATACCTGCGAGAAACTTTAACAACCTCAAACATCAAATACATTGAGACGTAATTAATAAATTTATTGACGTAATTTATTCTCCTCGATTTAGAAAAGAGTTTGTCAAAAGATTTCTAATTCTCTTTGACTACCGGATTACTCCAATCTAAGTCGTTAAATTGTCTTATATCCTTAAGTATCACAACAAACATATTCATCCAAACCACTTCTTATTTTAATTGCAGAGGTGAATTGCATTATTCGTTGTGCTTTAGAAAACACTTTTAGAGCCCTATTTAAATGTGCAATTTTCACACAGGTCTCCTTGTTTTATTTAAAAGAGCAAAAGTGTAAGCAATAAAGTGGTAAATCCATCAGATAACTTCTAAATGAGTTTTAAAGTTTATAGTAACGGTTTTCTAGTAACTGACCATTGTGGGAATGGGCCCAGCTAACGGTGGGAGTGCGGGAAGGTTGGCAACATTGGCTAGACGTAGCGGACATCACGTGTGAGCCTGACACGTCCCAACACGCGTTTACACGCACGAACACGCCTTGGACCAGAGCACGTGCGTGACATGGCTACCAACTACTGCGCGATAGTCAATAGACGCCCGTAATGTACGTGACTGATAATTTAACGTTCTTCCTGAATGAAGAATGTGGCATTTTATTCAAGGTGTTAATAACATAATTAATTACGGTGTTTATCGGTTAATAAAACTGTGAAAAAGCATCAAACCGTAAGGAGCCTTTGCTATAACCTAAAAGTTAGGTCTCAAACCTAGTAGATTAGTCAAAGTAGTCCAATACCCTATTAATATTGTGTATTCTTTTAATAGTTAATTACAGATCGTTGTATACTTTTAGCGAATTTCCCATATAGGGAATAAGCTATTACCGTAGTACTCATGGTAAGACCTGGACGCGGGACCGATTTTTTTTTTCGTTTTGAGGTCCCTAGAGGCCAAAAACACCATCCGTTCAAATTCATATATATATATATATTTATATATTTATATATATATATATATATGTGTCCGTCAGCACGATAACTCGAGCAAAAATGATCCGATTTCGATGAAATTTGGTACAAACGTGTAAACGTACGTTTATTCAAACGAGTTCGCGATCCAGCATGATCGGACCATGGGAACGGGGGTTTACGGGGGGTTTTATGGGGTAAAAATAGGTTTTTCCCATTTTTTACCCAAAAAACATAAAATTTAGCAATTTTTTTCCAAACCATTTTGTAGAGCTTAAAAAAACAAATAATTTAGTATATTGAAGCGTTATTATGCCCTAATGGTTACGGAGAAAATTCCAAAAAATTGTAAATTTAAAATTCCCATGTTATTCTTATGGAGAATAAGTAAACTGTTGTAGTTTGCTTGTTTGTGAACATATTTTGATCAAATTTGGAAAATGTTTTTATTTCTTACTAACTATTCACATTTTACAAAAAAAAAAAACAGTTTTACCCTCCCTGATGCAGCAAACCTAAGTACTTGTTAAACTAATTCTATTTAATTAAATCAAGAATAAATGTTATATTTTTAAGTAGACATTTCAGTGTAAATCCAATCAGTCAAATGGAAATTCGCTTAGTCTGCAGGTTTGCTGCGGCGGGGGTATTTTATTTTTAGGTTATAAAGTGAACTGGAGTTGTAATGTGTGTTCCACAAATCACTACTTCCATAAAGATCGTGATTCTCCTACTCACCAACCTACCTAGACCCATCAAACGCCTACGGTGGTTTGTACCAACCAGTTCCATAATCTTCAGACTGTACCTCTAAAGGCCAAAAGTGCTGTGTTTTATAAACATTCAGGGATTCAGGACTTCCAGACGTTTTTCCTAGCCACTTCCACTTCTTACATTTTGTCACGGTTTCAGTATCTTTCACTGCCATTGCCATTTTGATCGTATGTTGAACCAAAGGCTGATACTGAATAACGAAGCTGTTAGATAGTTAGCTGTGTTTTGTATTGTAAAATTTGCTTACAGTGGTCATAGAGATTCAGTTTTAGGTTACGTCATGAATCGCGAGAGAAAGTTCCTTCAGGCAGAATTACGAGAGGCCGCCGCACTGGGATAGTTCACAGACTGTATGGTATTAGGTCATCACCAATCAGTTGATTCGATTGATCAATCACAAAATACGCATAATCACTAACAAAATCTTGTAATAAATTGGTGATAGCGTTCTATAATTCTTTTGATAATTTATTTTCTTTTATCCTACGGTTTGATTTATTTATTTTCTCAGTACTTATTTGCTCTTTTTTGTGATTGTGATGCTTGGATAACGCATCAGTTCCAACAGTTCCAGTTCGGGACAGTTGATCTGGGTCAGGAATTAACAAGAACTTGTAAGGTGTTTTTAAATAGAAAATCTTACCTGCAATTAGTAAGTATGAGTCTTGAACAGGGATGAATCCGGTTATGTACATTACCATTGAATACCTATCAAACTTATCTGTAAGAATAAATAAGGCTTATAAAAATAGAATACAAGTAAAACATTGTCGTTACCGTACATGTTAAATGGAACTGTCCATGCTAAATGACCAAAGAAAGTTCAATAGATACCAGTAAGCTTCAGCTGGTTAACATCACCACTTAAATACTTTTTTTCATAAGTTTGCCTACAAAGGGTAAAAATTTTAAGTTTTTTTTTATCCTCTTCTGACCGATTCAGGTAAATTCAGGTAAAACAATGTTAAACATCTTGGCAAGCTATATTGTAATTTTAATTTCCCGCTACCACACTTCTTTGTACACATCTTCCTAAAATGTCTTTCAGGTAAATAACTATAGACTTGAAATAAAACAAAACATATTCATTTTTCTTTCGTACAGAGGAACCTTAACATATCTTGTTTTCATGTAGTCGATAGTTTTTAACTAATGAAATTACTTAAGTTTCCAAGACTTAGCCTCGATTTCACCCAACATCGCGTCGCGTGATCCTAAACTCAGAAGCGTTGTGTGCGAACAGCGACGGTATGTGAGAGCAGAGAGGTCGGGAGAGACGTTTTCTGTTCTGTGTTTGTTTTGTTGGCTAGTCTATTAGCTCTCCATTCATGGGTGTCTTCGACCTACAGAACGCGCTCCGGGCACTAAAAGGCAACGACCGAGCGAACCAAGCCTTGGACGAACGAGGCTAAACCGATTATCACCTTCATTCTAATTGCAATCAATGTTATTTTTATTAGGTTGAAAATGGAACTTGTAGTTAATTGTTGTTGTTGTTGTTAACTATTGGGAGGCCCAGATGTGTGGGGGTTTGTTGGTTTGTTGGGTTTGTTTGTTTGAGTTTTTTGCCGAAGCAATCTATAGAATATAGTTTTCGTAAGAGTATTGGCCCACCAAGACGTTTTAAAACATTTTTGATTTTGTGATGAATTGATGGATTATCTTTGGATCACTGAAATATTCGAAATTAGTTAATATTACCTGATCGGGTATTCTAGGTTAAAAATTATACGTCAATAATTTCAGATTTTCAATTTATATGACTCATCTTCCGGCGCAGCACGTGACAGTATGGCCACTGGCCACGTTTTATTAGTCTAATGTGAGTCATGTGTGTTTTATGTGTACAGTATAAAAGATTTTCAAGTAGGCTACATAAGTTAAAGTCATGAATGATACACATTATTTTTGCCTGAACTGAACGGCACTCTTAATGACAGTTCCTCGAAGAGTTAGTTTCTAAAACGGTGAGGTCACCGGGAATGTTGAATGACTGGTTGGTGACTTGGTGATGATTGTATGCTAATATCATCACATCATGGTTAGATGAGGTTGTTGTCCCGCCCGGGACCCACCCATCTCGCAATATAAACTGTTGACAAATCTCAACATGAACTAAACCAAATTAGACAACAGTTGACCAAACCTTGACCTGTAGAACCGTAATTCCCAGTGGGCCATGACCAAGGTAGCACGGGTCACTGCCACATTACACCATTACTGTAGGACTAACAAGGATAAAATACTGGATCCCCTACACTTTTACATACCGGTATACTAGACAACGTCCAGTGGTCGAAAACTCGACCAAAAATATTTAATGTACAGACTTCTTTATTTTAACCCGCTGTAAATAAAACATGTGATTAGAATTTCTTCTTCTTGTTTCTTGTTTTGATTTTACTTTTCGTTTTTATTTCGTCACCTTTTAAGCATGGCAACCTATAAGTCCCGTGTATTTTTTTAAATTTTAAATAAATTTGTTGTGCTTATTTTTTAGCCTATTTTAATTTATAAAGGGATTATGCACATATACAGGAAAATATCTTTCTAACAGTATGCGTAGATTTTCTCTGCGAAGCACACGAGCTGAGAAAAAGGTTTTCAAGAAACATGCTTGTGTATTAATATATAGATTCCACAGTACTTATAAAATTCTACTTTACTTTGTTCTACTTTTGTACAGTAAATCATGTTCCTTTCTACCATAACTGTGCTCAAATTACTATAGTAATTATCCTTTTTATTCAACCTTTGTTGGTCCTTTGCTTCGACAAAATATGAGCCGGATTATTGTAGCTCGGTAAGTGGCTCATTAAAAGATGTGTTATTTGGATGAAAAATTGAAAATACAACAACTGGTCCACATAGATGTTTATTTCAGTATCCAAAAGTTAATGTCAAAACTGGAGCCAGCTGTTCTTGATCGTTGGGCTTTTAATAAATTGTCTTGGCTCGAAAACCAGCTGATCTTAGACAGTAACAAATCTGTAGTATTCATGAAACACTTTTCATTCACTCACACTATATGAGTGGGGAAAAACTTATGTTTAATTGTTGTGGTGGTATCGTAGAAATCTGATATTTCCTCACTAACCACATGCTTGTTTCAGCATGTGGAGGGTGGTGGCGTGGTGTCTCCTGGTGTTAGCTGCCCCCGCAGTTGGTCAACTCAACAGGCCCCCACAGTTCCTGCCTGGCGGAGACATGGCTAGGTTTGCTCTACCAGAAGACACACCAGTCGGAGCACCTGTTTACAGGCTACAGGTGATTTGAATATAAAAGATTATAACCAACTTGTATCGTCAATTGAGTATTTTTACCCAAGTTGTAGACCTTCGCGATTCTCGAGCTATGAACGATTCTGGAGTAAAATAAATACAATGGACTGAGGAAAATTTTAGTATTTACTGACAAGCTTTAGAGGACAAGCCTCTGGTGGGGTAAGAACGTTGTTGTTCCTTGGTCAATCTACCACTCTGCTTTCTTATAGGTGTTTCACAACAATTAAACATTTCTAGGTTTTTAGTTTTCCCAAGAGATAGATTCTCAAACCTTTTATTATAACTTTAATATCCTCAAAACATGAATTAATGTACTGCACATCTGGGAAGAACTTTATATCTAAACAAAATGTAAATACTAAATAAACAAATCAAGTTTGATTATTCTAGAGCCAACCAAAATTTGTTTCCTCCAATTTTGGGGACCAATAGTATTAGACATTCATTTTGCAGAGAGAAACCTCTCCCTACTGACTAACTTACGGGATTAATACATAGAATTCCTAGAAAAAGCAATGTGGGAAAGCAGTTTCCGCATCCCCCCTCCCATTTAATAAGCCACTGGCAATAGAGCAAAGCAATTATTTTGATTATCTCAAGTCTCCAATCTGACCTGATGATGAGTTGATAGAACTGATTTAAATTTATAGCTACAATGTAAAATCATTGGTAAGGCATTGTTATTTGAACTGTACCGGTATTTATTATATGAACACTAATCTATTGCTAGTTGGCGAGTAAACTGGTCTGGTAGAGTGCAGGACTTCGTTCCCCAAAACCCTGGGTTTGAATCCCACCAACAACTAATGGATTTTATCCAAAATGTGACAATGCCATCACTTTCTAGGTCTAGCCTGAACGTGAAAATGGTTACGGGAGCAAGCGTACTGGGATGTGAAGCTGGGACATGAAAAAATGGAACATAATAGTGAATTACTCATTTTTACATGTTTCCTTCCGCAGGGTATGGACCCCGAGGGTGCCGGGGTACACTACAGCATCAGTGGTGAACATCTCACAGTGGACCGTCAGTCTGGGGTAGTCACTCTACTGAGACCCCTAGATAGAGAGACTGTGGATTTACTAGAGGTCATCATCAGCATCACAGGTGAATTATGATTATTCCGAGAAACAGTTTCTGTTCTAGTCTAAGTTTTTTTATATACAACCTACTTTCCATTAAAAAATGATAGTACCAACTGAAATATTTTTTTAACTATTTGGTGTTTCTATATCACAGTAAATAAATGTTAAATCTTGTTAATTTAATAAGGGATAAAAATAAATTATTTATGGAAATGTTTTGGTAAAAATCAAACCAGACAAATTGAAAGTCAATTAAGTCTGCAGGATTGATGCCTCGGGGGTGTTGGGGTATTATCAAGAATATTATATTCCTTCTTTTCCTAGTAAAGAACGAGTGTTCTTACAACAGATTTTTTTAGTTTTTCTTACAAATTAGTTATTTTTCATGAACTTTGCATTTGAAATTATCTTTAGGATTTCTCAAAAGTAATCTAAATTCATTTGTCCTTTTTAGATGAGTCAGTCGGAGGTGTTGAGCCGAACACTGTCTCCTTGCGGAGAGTGATTCCAGTGTTGGATGTGAACGACAATTCTCCTCAGTTTATCGGCCGGCCGTACGCCTTCGCTGTACCTGAGTCTACCAAGGTTTGTTTTCTTGTGTACCGGATAATTAAAAAAGTAACCTTCATACTTAAACAAAAAAAAATGTTATAGTTCGGCCGCTTAGAAAACGACCTGCGCGCTAATGCTAAACCAATGTTGGAGGAGGTCGCTTTCTAAGTGGCCGAACTATAATGTCTATTTTCCACCCTTTGAGCACAAGTAATTCATTGATTTAATAGATCATCTTATCTCATAATCTAACAAATTGATAAACTTCTCAGATAGTTGTATTGTTTAATTTTACCCATAACTGGTTGAGAATTTTTCAACTTTTTCAGGTCGGAATGGTGCTATACTCCAACATAACTGTGGTGGATAAAGACATCGGTGTAAACTCTGAACTGACCATCTCCTGTGTCCAATCTGATGCTTGTAGTGCCTTCAGCGTCCACACTGATAAGGTAAATCCATCAAATCAGAAGGTTGCCTTCAGGGAATGCTAAAAACCGAACTCAGCATGTTATTTAGCATGATTTATAAGCAAGGGGCTGTGATCAAAAATCCTCTTAAAGTTAGTTTATGATAAAAGAAAATTTACACCTTGATCCATGCTCAGTATAAATTAATTTTGGTTTCATGAGTATATAATTTTGGTGTGCTGATATAAGGAAAACAAAAACAGTTGTTTTGATTACTAGAAGTGTCCTCTTTATGAAAAAGAAAATTTACATATTTCACATCTTCATATTTGTTTAAAACTTTATAACAAGAAGCTGCGTACACAAATAGATACAACACATATCCTCAGATCGGCATTGGCATTGGCATAAGTGGCGGATCCAGAGGGGGGACGAAGGGGGTGACCGCCCCCCCCCCCCTTGGGCATACATATTTGTACTTTTTTCTACAGCATGTAATACAGTAGTGAATACACATTGCGTAAAAATAATCTGTCACACTAACTTTGGGCAAAGAAACGGTTTAAAACTGCCATTTTGGAGACTTAGTCCACACAAATTTTTTGGGGGGTACCCCCAAACGACCCGGTTCGCCCTCCCCCCCCCCCATTTTGGCGGTTCTAGATCCGCCACTGATTGGCATCATGTTACACACTGCAAATATATTCATTCTTCAAATGCATTCTTTTATGGATCAAGATTTGATTATGAACCATCCTATTTATTCGACCACAATCAGGACAGTTTGTTATCAAATCAAAATAACCTGAATCCACATTTAACATACTCTACCTAGTTATTTTAAACTTAGTTCAGCTGTTTCTTACGCTACGTCACACATTGTCTCACAGATTGCAGAAGGAGAATACATGGGGACTGTGACTCTGTCTCGTAAGCTGGACTATGAGATGTGGTCGAGCTACCGTCTTGTGCTACAAGCCTCTGACTCCAGCTCTCGTCCACTCACTGCCACGGCCAACGTTGTCATAGATGTCATCGACGTCCAGGACCAAGCACCGGTGTTTGTGGGTGCTCCGTACTCCGCTACTGTCCAGGAAAATACTCCCCCTGTGAGTACAACGAAATCTGTATTTTTCAAGGTTTTTGTCTATAGGCCATCTTTTCTTCTTTGGCTCTCTTTTTTCATTGTTTGTACACGCCACTATAAGTCTTGTGTTTTTGACACTTTTAATACTTGAAAACAGTCCAAAACTGATTTTAATACTAAAATCTCTAATCTACCTTAACAATCTATACCTTGATAATCTTTTTACTTCCTATTTTTTGACTTACTGAATGGCCAAAGTTTCTGAATATTTTTATTAAAATGAAATATAACCTTAACTGCCTCAAAACAAAGATGTTTTATTCTGTAAGGCGGTCTATAAAATAGTGAATTTCCGTAAGATTATGAGTAAAATAGGTAAGACAATGGTATAGCTGCAGTCATAAGTTGGATTGCTTGCCCTTGAATACAAAGATTGCTAGGTTAACATCCAAAAACATTGATTCTGAAATTAGGAGCCATTTTTCAGAATTATTAATCAATAATAGGTTCATAAACAACATGAGGTTGAATTAGATATAATCAAGTCATTTTCATCTCTAGAATCAAAGAAGTTGATATGTCATTAAAATATTAAATGTTCTTCTTATTTCTGTACCAACCACAATATTCATCTATCCTGATACTGCAGGGCCACAGTGTAGTGAAGGTGCAAGCCCAAGACGGAGACTCAGGAGAACCGAGGCCGGTGACATTGAGCATCGAGGGAGACGACCTCGGTTACTTCCAGCTGGACATGGGCAGCCGAGGTCAGGCTACCGTGGTCACCAGTGACACCCCCATAGACAGGGAACATCCCCTGGTGCTGCAGAGTGGGGGTGTCTACACATTCAATATCAAGGTATATGTTTATTTTGTATTTCATGAAATGCATCATTTTTTGGAAAAATCATGTTTGTGAGGAAATTTAAAAGAATAGACTGAGATTTTGACAACAATTGTTAATTGTTGGTTCTATGTTGGCAATATTTTAATATAACTTAACATTTAATTTATTAACTTTTGCATGCTAATTTTAGTTATTCAATCATCCTTTCATTTAGGCAGAAAATGACTCAGTTTATTTTATTATTTACATGAATAAAGAATGTTTTACTGATTAGCAAACAAGTAGGGTTAAGGAGGAATGTCCTTGAATGTTGTCTCTTTTGACTACACGCTTTTGAAATCATACACATTATTTCCTATAAATCAATTTGTCAATGTATCCAATAGATTATCAATACCAAAGCTGGCAGTGATGTTTCTCTTTTCCAGGCTACAGAACTGATCAACAATGAGTTGCCCGGAGACTTCAGCTATGAGAGTGTCACAGTCGTCATCACTGACGTAGACGATCAGGACCCACAGTTCAACCAACTCATCTTCAACATCAATGTCTCCGAGGACGTCGGTAGGTGAACAAGTAACTTTTTTCTCATAGGAAAGTTCAGAAAAGTTTTTTTATGGAAATAAGTGGTTTTTCCTTTTTAATGGATATTCCAGATTAAATGTAGATATTTTAATGAATAGCTATGGATATTGTCAGCCAAGTGGATATACAGTAGTGTCAATCTTCAAATTTGGGAATTTTATCCCAACCAGAATTCATTCTGGACCCAAATGCTATTTGTCTTTGGGCTGTCAATTGATGATGATGTCTAACATAAAAGGTCATTAGATAGCAAAAGATCAAGGTTTGGACCATTCCTTTCCAAAAGCTTTAAAATGCAAAATTATTATCATTCTCATTATCAATTGAGATGGGGACACCACTTTTGGTGCTTATTTTAACCCAAAGATGAGTGAAGGATGAGTGTAGAATGGTGTGCCTTGTATAGCTTTGTTACCGGTACTGACTAAGATCAGATGTTTCATTAGCCAGGATCATTTATTTAAAGCCCAATAATCAGGGACAGCTGGGTCCAGTTTCAAACTATCATAACTATCATAACATATTGTATACTGTCTTTTCTCATCCGGCAACCTTTTAACTGTTAGGTGAGCACTATAACCACTCAGCTACCCTGCCAGTTACGATTTTTTTATTAGAAAGATATTTAGTTTTTTAATCAAATGATTTAACAAATAGTTTGTGTGGAACTGTGTGTTGTAGACACACCAGTCAGTTTGCAGGAACAGTCTACGTCAGTATGCAAAAGTCAATTCTAATCCTTCCACACCTCAGGTATTGGAACTCCACTGCCCGGGCTGAACATGGTAGTGACCGATGGAGACGTTGGTGACAACGCAGACTACTCGCTCTCTCTGCGTTCAACAGACAGTCGAGTGACACGGTGGCTGCGGGTAGAGCCAGAGACTTCGAGAGGTCGTACACCCGTAGTGGTACGAGTGCAAGACAACAATGGACTTGACTTTGACAGAGGCGTTACGGAAGCTTCCTTCACGGTTGTGGCTCACAAGAAGACTCCTGAGGTAGGTTTAGGGATAAAAAATTTAGTGATAACTAAAAGTTGGAATAATCAGAGTCTTAGGCTTAAACTATAAAGATAAAATTTGTTCTTTGCAAGGGTTAATAAGTGGTTTTGTCAGGGCCGGATTTCCCAATAGGCCCGGTAGGCCCGGGCCTATGGGCGCAAGCTCCCAGAGGGCGCACGGCTGAGAGGAAATAGTAGTTTACGCAACGATTGCGTTAAGTGAGTCTTTACGACACGAGTAGAAAATTTAAGGCACGAGCCTAGGCGAGTGCCTTAAAAACTTCTACGAGTGTCGTAAAGACTATTAACGCGAGTTGCGTACACTACTTTACCTACGACCGTTTTTTAATTACTATCAATATGGATTTAATTACTAACAATCACTAATGATAACTTTTTAGAGAGGTTATGTTTTCGTGTATTGTCATTGCCACTGAAAGGTATGCAACGACTTGTTGTATAATCAGCTGATTTCCTGTAATTACGTGTTTGTTAAACTTCGTTAAATATTACATTGCTAGCAGCATTCTTACCATAAATAATATTGTATCAGGTACAATTCGGCAAATAAATTATTTCATTTATTTTTGGACTTCCACCAATTTAATTAAGAATACGCGAGTATCAACATGAACAAGTCGGATCAACAATTAAATTGGTCAACTGATCAGCTGATTAGTTGACGTTCGAAGCATTACAATTTTAATTCTTTTCTCTCAATACTTGAACCTCATTGGTCCGTTACCTGTGTGGATATGAGAAAACTATGCGGATATGAAATGAATCTATGTGGATATGAAAGTAAACAGCTGTAAAGTGAAACTTTTCAATTCTAAGAACTGGACTGAAATGGCTACTTTAAAAAACGGTCGTAGGTAAAATATTTTTTTAATATCTAAAATTAAAATAAATAGCCATAGCTTAACATATTTTGCAAGTTGATATAAAAAAAAAAACTCTTGCCAATAAAGCATTACAATTTTTTTTAGTTTTTAATAAAGGTTTGTAGGAAAGAAACTGTGACCAGAACAGGGGGCGGAAAAATTATTTGGGCCTAGGGGCGCGAAAATCCTAAATCCGGCCCTGGGTTTTGTTATGTTTTGTCTTATTTTCTAACAATACAGTACTTGGTTGCAATGATGTTTAATTCAAGCCTTTTTTCAACAAAACTAATTTTAGGAATGTTTTTTACCACTTCCATATTGGTATGATATTTTTCCCCATAGGGACAACTGCATTTCAATTTATGTACAAAAATTCCCAACATTTTAGTTATACATCTAACATGAAACTTCTTTTCAGGGTGACACAGTGGAAGCTTCTAGTGCTGATGTGATCGTAAACATCCTAGACGCCAATGACAACTCTCCTGTGTTCAGCAACCACGAGTACTCGTATACCATTCAGGAGGACTTGGCTCCAGGGTCCCTAATCGCAAAGATATCAGCCACTGACAAGGATAGTGAAGAGTTTGGCCGGATACAGTACACTCTCAGAGGTTTTGGCACAGATAAGTTTGGCACTGATCTCAACACGGGAAATCTTTATCTAATCAATAGTAAGTCTAACCTTTTTTTGCTGAGTACATATTTTTTGTAATTGTTGTTGCACATTAATGCGGAGTATAATGAGAGATACTCTCTGTTCACTCTCCATGTTTGATTTTTTTCTGGAAAATTCAAAATGTTTCCACTTTTTAAATCTTGCAAAAACTTTTAAATAGTCTTTTCTGTTTCAAATATTGGGTGTACAAAATTATTTGATCCATCCAATGGTTGTGTTTGCGCTCCAAAATTTTCTTCCGTCTCAAAATTCACTTGACCATTTCAAAGGAGTTGGTCGTTTGACAACGATAAAAAAATGATGCATTATTGTTGGTACTATAAAAGAAGTACACACCATAATACAAATGAGTTATTCTCATATAATCATATTGATGAATGCTTCACAGAGGTTGACTATGAGAAACAGAAGTCGTATTCCTTAACTCTGGAAGCTAAGGATGGAGGAGGTCGCGTTACCACAGTCAACATACTCGTACATCTCGCTGATGTTAACGACAATCCTCCAGTGTACGAGCTATCAGAGTACCGCAGAACTGTGCGAGAAGGAGCCACCACCTTCCAGCCTCAGTTTTTTGTCAGGGTGAGAATCCAACAAACAGTAGAAAAATACAGATAAATATAAGTTAGTATGAGGTTCGTCCAAGGATTGTCTTAAATAAGATCCAGTTGCGGCAAGCAAGTTAGTATAAATGAGACTGGCGCCAACTGGACTGTTTACTTACCTTTTCCCCTAGCTTGTAATAATAATAAGCATTAATTGGATATTTTAGTGAGTATTCAAGCAGGTCTCACTCCTATGCAAAAACTACTTTTGTTTTAGTAGCCATAAGTAACAATGTAAGGAAAAATTGACGGTCCTGCCTATCATGAATCGTGGTCTATGATTTCTGAGGGCTAAGGGGTCAATCCCAATTCAAATTGGAATGGATGAAAGAAGATTTATGCTGTGTATTGTTTTTTTTTTTTTTGGGGGGGATATATTTACTAGTATGTAAACTTAAAGTGAAATATTATTCGTTGTGACCCTTGGTTGGAATATATTATTGATAAAATTAAATGATTACCTTATCGATGAAACTAACGAAACTAGTAGTCATATGAGCCACTGTACTTGGATAAGGTAATTATTTTATTTTATCAACTAAAGTGAAACTTGTATGATATGTTTTTCCAAAAGACTATAATTATTGGCTTACCTTAAAAATCATAAAGGATAGAAATACTCTAAGATAAAGGATAAGAATACTCTGGAAAGTAAATTGTTTCAAGAACAATTTGTTATCTGCGATTTCCTAGAGAGCGGAAGCGGAACGGGAAGTGTAGGGTATGCTCTCTTCTAGTCTTAGGCAATATGGTACTGTATTCCTAGAAGCGGAGCTAACTGCCATTAAAATCGCTTCTCTGCACTCCGCTCTTCAGGGAGGAAAGATACGAATAATCTTGTAAAACTCTTTGCTGAACAGTTATACTTTTCTTCCAGGCGATAGATGCAGACAAGGAGGGTAAGAGTGTTATGACGTATCGCATCGTCTCTACCAACTCTGATGTGCTGACTGTCGACCCCCAGACAGGGGAGGTGAGGATGGTTTCGCCCGTCAGTTCTCGTCACACTTCACGAGGACAGTACGAACTGACCATCAGAGCTGCTGATGATGGTTAGTGAACAGAGCCATTCTTTTTTCCACACTACATATTTTATACAGCTAATATGTCAAACCCTGTACAGTAATTGTCTGGGTAGCTGAATTATTGCACTCGCCTTCATACTTAAAGGTTGCTAGTTCAAGCTCAAGTAGGGTAAATTTTGGGCCAAAATGCAATTTGACATTGGGCTATCAATGATGCTGTCTAATATAGGAATGAGGTCGGATAGTGAAAATACCATTTCATTGTTTGAAACATTCTCTTCAAAAATAGTAGTGCCAAATTGCTTTAAAAAAGTAAAACTTACAAGGTAAAATCATAACAGATTTTAGCTTGTAAGAACTATAGAGGAGGAATATTTGAAAACAAAACCATGATACAGTATCATCAGCCTTTAGAATCATAAGTCAGTTCTTTTATACTTGCAATTGATTGTTGTAAACTTGATTATGCTTAAGAAAAATTAGCTTTGAAATAATTTACTTTTGTTTGTCTACAAGCCTAGGGTATGTGTGAAGCAAAGCAAAGATGAATGTGCACAATCATATAAAACATTCAGTAAAAGTCCCTCTGTCACCAGGAGTACCACCACTTCATGGAGATGTCCCGGTGTTTGTAAGGGTAGGGGTCCCAGGAAACCAGCGACCTGTGTTCCGAGGAGTCCCATACAATGTCACTGTTCTGGAGAACTCTCCCCCGGACTCGCCCGTAGCTACTGTCAGAGCTACGGACCCGGATGGACCAGACAGTTTGGTGGAGTATAGAATAGCCACTGGAGCTGACAACTTTTATATCAACTCTAGGTAAGTTTCAAAAGTGATAAGGAATGTTTTTCCATCTGTTTTTGAGAAAAGTTGGGTAAGGTCGGCCGGACAAATAGCGAACTGCATGAGGATTTGTCGCGCATGTAAGAGGAGGTCGCTCTCTAAGCGGCCGACCTATAGCTGAGAGGTTATAGTGTTCACCCATCAATTAAAAGGATACTGGTTCCTTCCTGTCAAAGTCAGTAGCTTTTAGATAGTACAAAACTAGACCCAATTGTTCTTGATTATTTGGCTTTGAGTTAATGGTCCTGACTAAAGAGTCAGCTGATCTCCCTCGGTTAAGATGGCTTTACGCCATGATTTAAAGGATTTTGAGGATTTTTTGCTTACCTTACTGGCAAGAATAGATTAAATTGCAAAAACAAACACATAGGAAAAATAAATGTGATTATTTGTGTTTTAATTTATTTAGTTAAGTTTTTAATCATAATCTTACTAGTGATGAGGTATGCATGCCGGCGGTTGATATCAGGTTACAAATGAATGTAGCCTTTTGGTCCAGTAAACAAAGGTCCAAGAGATTGTACAAAATAAGAGGCTTGAATCATATTAAATTTGCTTTTTTTGTGCCTCAATAAAACTTTATTGCATTTCAGTACTGGGGTGATATCGGTGTCCAAGGCTGCTATACTTGACCCGGACATCACAGACTCTCGACGTTATGAGGTTGTCGTGTTGGCAGTTGACAGTGGAACTCCGATACGCGAGACTGCTCAGGCCACAGTGACTATCAACATCGCAGACGTCAACAACAAACCACCGAGGTTCCCGCCAGAGGACAACTACGTCCGTCATATCTCCGAGCGGACTACAGTAGGTCTGTAGCAGCTGATGACTATGATAATAATATTTCAAACTCTTAGTATTCTTGACACCATTGTACATATTTATTAAGTTTAATCTACTTTTGGCCTTGGTGTGGAAAATTTGTTGAACTGACCGTCATGCTGTTCCAACTAACCAATACAAAACTAGGTTAAGAGAAAGCATTTACTTTGGACACTGCAAGAAGTCTTATCCTATTGTAAATCTGTTACCGTTTCACATATGTCTTTTAATGTCTGGCGATGTTTGTTTTCCTGAAATACACTGAACGTTTGCATTATTTTAGGGTAAAATTTGCAGTGAGCAAATAAGATAACATTAATAACTTTGTTCATTTCACCTATCTACTCTAGGGGAGAAAGTGTTAACTGTTCAAGCTACGGATCCAGATTTGAATGCTCTTCTGGAATACTCCATCAACAGTGTGAGGGGAGCCGACAAGACAGGACTTGCCTTGAGGGATTCCACCCCTTACGACTACAAACACGCCTTCAGGTCAGTGTGGAGATGAGAGTGTTACTGCAACTGTCAAGCTAGAAAGCGTAAATAATTATTTGACAATGACAAATGGAAGATATGTCCAAAAAAGAATCCTGACACAATCAACACTGGCAATCTTTAAATTTCAAACTAAGAACTCACCACAATTCATTTATGAAATTATATTACTGCTAAAAATATTTTGCATGTTTTTTTTTTATTAGCAAAATATAATATTGCATAAGGCCAAGAGAAATTGATGTGATTTATGGTAAGTTTCAATCACATTGAAGACTTAGAAACCTTGGACTAGGTTTAGATGTTGAACTTTTTGTAAATCGTTGGATTTTAAATAATATATTTTAATTTAATTAGTCTGACAAACTGTAGGGGTCACCGATACTCAAATTTAGCATAGATTAATAATTTACCTATCTCACAAACGATATATATTTTAAATATTTACAATATTTATTTTATTTTGTCAGGATAAACTCGACAACAGGAGACATTGTTGTCAATGCACCATTGGACCACCAAGCTGCAGCAATGGTCATTCTAAGTGTCCAAGCACGAGATAAAAATGCAGTGGAAAATGTTGAACAACAATTCTCTGAAGGTATGGTTAAAGCAATATTTGAATTTTATTCAGTGTTGTAGAATACGGATAAGGGCTTGAGGTTCAATAAAAAAATGCAAATGTCGTAGAAAAAAGGATAATAAGTTTCTAACAACATTAACTGATTTTTCCCAAATAAAAGTTTTTACTGTGTTAAATTGTAATTGATCGATTTAGTCTAAGATAATTACATAATTTACAGTACCCTATGTAATTATCTTAGGCATTATGTAATCACAAGGAGGCTTCTTCAGAAGAAAGTAGTATGAAATAGTAGGGGTGAAATTTCAAATTGATTGTGGTGAGAACATTTTGTGTGCTATCAAATGTGTGACACTCTTTCCCGTAAAAATTAATTGTGTACGGTAACATTCCTTTTCTCTTAATGTATTTTTAAGTCAAGTGTTTTTTTTTTGTGTAGTTTTCAGCCCTTGGACTCTAATTTTCTCAGGTTACCAAGCTAAACTATATCTACATTCAAACAATTCGTAAATACCCACATCAAATTGAAAATATAATTGCTAGTAAAATAACTCCATCGTTAATTATAAAAGTGTCACTAAATCTCGTCTCAAAAACAACTAACTTATACATTACCATTACAGTTGAGGTGACCCTGTACATTCAAGCGTACAATGAGCTAAATCCAAGGTTCACTGTTGGTGGTTGGTCACCAGTCGACCCAACCATCAGGGTGTCAGTAGCCGAGGAGCAGCCGGTTGGTACCACTGTGCTACAGTTGGCAGCCGTGGACAGTCCCACGGACCAGCCCATCACACACTTCAGCGCTGCCAACACGCTACCTACGGGCTTCTCTCTACAGTCGTCTGGCGTACTCCAGCTCACCAGCACTTTTGACTTTGAGACTCTCGACAATAAGGTGTGTCTCTCGACAGTAAGGTATTAAGGTTCTTGACTGAGTTACTAGTCTTGCAATTTTTGACATGTGCATCAAACTTTGAGAAGTTTCTAATCTTTAAAGTAAGTCACTCTTGACAATGAGTTACTAATCTTGACAACAAAATCTTGATATTATGAGATTTTCCTTCTCCATGACCTATCTTGATAATAAATTAGTAATGTTTAGCCATAAGGTTCTAATCTTGATAAAGGCATTAACGTTGATCATGCTATATCTTCACAAACAATGTGCTATATACTTTCTGCAATGAGTTATTAATCCTGACATAAGGCCCTTATACTCTCGACAATCAGTTACTGGTAATCTTGGCAAGAAAGCACCGAGAAAATAGGGTTCTTGACATTAGGAAACTGATGCTGTACATTGTGTATTTAGGTACTTACCCAAGGCACTAATAACTTCCAAATATACATTGCAGGGTTAATAACCAAAGGGAGAAGGTAATTAAATTACTTTTTATTTTACAAGAGGGTTTCCCATCTCTTTGTCCCAATCAATCTGTTTGCTTAATATTGTTGTACTACTCTTGCCCTATTCCATACCTTGTATAACCTTGCTATATAACACACAAACTAAAATTAATTGTGGTTTATTGTTGTAGACCCTCAGTTTCCGAGTGTTGGCTCAATCAGACGACAGACTTCGTAAGAGTGAAGCGCTTGTATTGATCACTATCAAAGACGTCAATGACCATGCTCCTCAGTTTTCTCAACAGGTACTTCTTTGCTGTACAAAAGTGTAAACAAGAAACAGCAGAAAACCTTAAAGCTTATTATTTTTAATAGTAGTTTCATTATAAAATTGGGTTAACCCTAAAATTGGTAATATTATATTATATTTCAACATGTGTTGGTAGGTGTGGTTTGTGTTTTGTTATTTGTGGGGCCTCCTGATGAGGTGTGGAGCCCTGAGCACCTTTCACACTTGTCTAAGGTCGGCTCTGAATATGACTATGTATCTCCTGTTATGGATATACCTGTTATAGTCAAAACCTCTAAAGCTATAATAAATTTTGTCCGGTTGTAATGGTTATTTTTTATCATGTTTAGTTATACCAAGGCTCAGTTGTGGAGTCTGCCTCCAACGGTACATCAGTGTTGACTGTTGCCGCTACGGACGACGACTTGGCCAAGACACCTGAGGGCTTCGGAGACATCAGATATTCTCTTTCAGGAGAAAGTGCTTCATTTTTCAACATAGATCCAATCACTGGCGAGATCAAGGTATGACATGTATTTTATTTTGCAATCTTACAATTTAAACGTTGGTAAATCATAACGTTCCTGCTTGAGGTTTGTTTGTAAGAGATAGTTAATGATTACACACTAAACTTATAGCCTCAACTATTTAATACAATTTGTGAACAAATAATGTACGTTGGTGCAATGAAGACCACATACGGTATAGCTTCTGCCTCCTCTATCTGGATAGCAGCACTATTTCTCAAACGGACAGTCTTTGTATATTGCAGTTGTAAGATAGCATATATTTGCATATTTAAATTGAAATACACATTAGTAGGATAATCCAACTTATAATTTGTAGTGATAGAGTTCTGTTTTAATGTTTCCTGTGCTATTAGGTGGAGGAAGGAGCACAGATAGACCGGGAAAGACAGCCATTGCTGAGGCTGGTAGTAACAGCAGCTGATGTTCCCCAAGGAGGACCATCCCAGAGGAAAACATCCGTCCCGGTCAGTAAATAGTTTCTAAAAATTCACACATATTGTGTTAGGCAAATTAGATCAAAGTTTGGCTATATAGTAGCACATTTGAATTAAAAATCAGCTTTTGGATGCATAAAAAACTATTTCAGGGACTGACGACTCTTGAATTGTATGTAAATTAAATGTATAAATGTTCATAGATAGTTTTCATCTACTCATATTGAGTAAAAGAACAGTGACACAATATGGTGTTTTCTTTATTTAATTTGTAACGTGAGATGATTAAATCATTAACATTTCACATCTGATACTTTGCAGGTTGAGATAGAAATTGTAGATATCAACGACAATGCTCCGGTGTTCTACCAGAGCCACTACTCAGCTGTTGTGCTGGAGAATGTTGACGTAGGGACGAGTGTCGTTAATTTGACAGCAACTGACAAAGACACTGGCCCCGGCGGCGACATATCTTACGAATTGGTGGACCACGGCGAGGCTTCCGGTAATTTAGCTAAATTTGACTGTTAAAAGATTAAATTCAATTTATATGCTGACACATCAGTTTGTGTTTTTCAAGAGGAAAATGAGAAAAATAATTTTAAAGTGAGCATTCACTAGCTATTCAGCTACATATTTAATATAGCCTCTGATAAATTTTTATACTGGGACAAATATAAGTTTAGTTTTGTTTAAGGTATTTTGTGTATCCATAAGACCTTTGACTCAAATTTGATCAGTTTAGCAAGGGGTTTGTTACATGGCTTATCGTTGAATCCGAAAAGAAAAAGAATCATTTACTCTCTCTACTAGTGTTTTGTAATTTTCAGAGTTTCTGTGGTGATCTACTATCTGTGGTGTAATGTTTCCACGGTGATATCTAGGTTTATCCCACTAACTCAGTTGTAATGAATGTTTCTGTGGTGATAGGCCTGTTCCACTTGGACCCCAAGACAGGAGCTGTTAGGACGGCCAAGCCTCTGACCGGGAAGGGTCGCTCAGAGCCGTACAGTCTCACAGTCCGAGCCTTGGACAACGGCAGTCCTAGTCTGTTCTCTGACGTCTCTATCAAACTGTTCATCGGAGATGTTGTCAACAACGACGGCATTCCATCATTTATCCATCCAACTCTTGATGAGATGGCTTACATATCTGAGGTGTGTTTAAAATTAATATGATTTTGAAATTACTTTTTTCTTTTACCACTTTAATCTTTTGGTGAAAATCAGCAATTTATTACCATATGGATTTTTTTGTGGAAGGACTCCAAAACAAGGAAGACGCTCTTTGAAAGCCTATCTCCTATATTTTTTTTCATATAGAAAAAAATACATAAACTTAGCTTTATGAATGACATGCCTTTACAACATAAATAAAAGTCAATGGGGATTGGTGGGCTTAGACCCGAAGCCTCTGTTTAGAAGATCTGTAAGAACGACTACTGGGCCAGCCACCTTCAACAAAATGTATTAAGAAATTACCTATGTTTGTAGAAAAACTCTCTGAGAAATTTGTATTTTAACATACCGGTCGGTACCTAATCTGAAATTTTCGCTTAGACTGGTTATTAGGAACTTTCCAAAGTTAAAATATTTCTTTTGTACTATTATCACCATCAAAAGTACTTAGTTGGTATTTCCTTACCAGCGATACATTTTGTTGCACGTTAGCACATTAGTTTCATAGTATTTTAAATTCTTCCAATCTATTACCAGAACTCGTCCATCGGTTCACCTGTGTTCCGAGTGGTGGCGTCTGATCCGGACGATCCCAACTCAGCCGAGGGTCAGTTGAGGTACAGCTTCCTACAAGACGGAGCTGACTCACTTGCTTTTAAAATTGGTAAGCGGCTAATATTTCAGCTCAGAACCTAATATACAACAAGTTCCACTTTTGGATATCAGCACAGTATAAAGTTTCTTGTGTAGCTCTTAACTCTCAGATAAGTTAAAATCTCATCTTGAGACGAGTACTTTTACTCGTTACTAAAGTAGTCAACGCTATACTTATCCAATGATACTCGAGTAATAGATTTGATCTTTATTTTATGAATGTGTCGCTAGACCATTCTTTTGTTTCGATACGCCTATATGTGGTGAATGCTTAGATAGTTTTCAGAATGGCTACCACGAATCAAGAGGGCTAAATGCTGAATTTTTACACAATCGAGTCGGACTAGTTTTCCGGGTTGCCAAAACAAGTGAACACTGCTGCAGTTTACCACAGACGAGTAAAGTGCTCTAGTACTCAGTCGAGTCGAAGCAGAATTGAGTACGTTTTCATTTTACTTAAAACTAAATGCTCAACTCGTCACATAACCATGAGCTGTACTACTTGAACAACTTAGTCATAATCTTATATCACTTTTAATAGATTACATCGTACAATACATACCCTGTGTTCCGTAGATGGTGAGACGGGTTTGATCACGCTTCGTCAGTTGCTGGACCGGGAGACCAAGGATCGCTTCTCGCTTGTGTTGCTGGCCAAAGACATGGGAGCAGTTCCCCAACAAGCCACCAGGGTGCTGCACGTCATTGTCACTGATGTTGACGACCACAAGCCGCACTTCAAACGCTCTCTGGTGAGACTAAGTAATCTATGATGAAATAGTTATCACTGTTAAACAAGACGAATAATTGAACATTTATTACCAGTGCAAATAAAGATAGGAACACAACTGCAAGCATATGCTTAAAGGATCAGTGTTGAATGTTACTGATTTAGATCAGCTGTTTCTTTTGCCAAGACCATTATTTAAAGCACAAAGATGAGGAACAGCTAGGTCCAGTTCCCTATCATCAAAAAGCTAGTGACCTTTCTCATAGGATTAAACAGGCAAACTTTTGATTGCTAGGCGAGCACTATAACCACTCAACTACCCAGCCAATTTGCAATCACTACACCTTGATGCCTTTAAAAAGCCTTAATGAATATGTAAATAAAAATATTCTGATTCTGAATGAAGAACCTAAACATTTTAAATACCATTTTTGCAGGATGAAGCTCCACTACAATTTATTGTTGAAGAAGAAAGAGAAATAGGAACTGAAATTGGAGTTATACAGGCTGTAGACCAAGATATTGGGGAGAATGCAAAGATTGGTTATTTGATAACATGTAAGTATGAATATTCACTATATACACTAGGTTTATAATTTGTTATGTCAGTTTATGGTTCTAACACTATCTTTGTCTGTTCGACTGTTTGCTGTGGTTGATTCCCTTTTTCGCTCTGTTTTTAAAGGGACGTTGCCCCTTTATCTAATATCCCTTGATTGTCCCCTCTCTTATTTAATGTCTCTTTGTTTTTTTTTCGATTTATGTTTCTTTGTCTCGTGTATATGTTATTTATTGAATTCTGCTGACAACCTTCATATTAAGTGATTACTTGACACCTTGTACAATGGTTCAGATTAAGAACTGAAACTACTTATGTATTGTAAACCATTTTAAATGTAACACAGTAATCCAGAGGCTTAACAACTCTTTGAAAATTTAATTCTATGTTTAATTCACATTAACAGTTACGAGCCACACCATTTTTGTTTTGATTAATTTCCTCAGTTAATTACTAAAATTGAGTGATAGTAGCAATTTTATCATTGTGTTTTTGTTTAGATGGAAATGAAGATAACCTATTTAGTCTGAACCAGACAGACGACAACCGGGCAGTGTTGGTTGCCAACAACCGGTTGGACCGTGAGACAACCGGACATTATATCATTACTGTCAAGTGTTTCAAACTGTCAACTCAACCTATCAGTCTTCGAAAGTCTTATAACAGACAAGTAAGTATTGTGTTTAAATGTCAGTTTTGTTATAATTTTATAGCTATTTCCCTAATTTTGCTATCACAGTATTTTAGTACGAATCATACTCAGTGTGATGAAACATTATTGATATTACTTTAACTTTAAAAACAATTTGTAAAATAATTTGGAAGTTATTTACAAATAAAAATCGATTTATTCCAAGGATATAGGAGTAAAAGAAAAATCAAATTGAAACGAGGCTCTTCAAATTTCTTAACACGTTGACTGCGCGCGCCGACTTTACAGGCGCTCCCCAGTGGCGGGCGAAGCCCCGGCGCGCAACCGAATCAGCGAACGCAATTGGCATTCAAATATTTCAGTCTGACAAATCACAAAAGAGCAGTGGTGACTGTGCTGCGTTACCCCGAGAGTGGATGTAGTTCACTGAAACACCCAAAGGTAGCAGCACTGCACGGATCCGTATCCAGTGTCTTTGTAATGTGGGTTGAAGAGAAAAAATCCCCGAAACCGGGACAAAAGCATTGCCAGACAGGATTTTACGGGAAATTTTAGTACCAACCTACACCAAAGTAAAGCTCGCATTCTAAGCTGGCAGGCTGGCAACGATTATAACGTCTACGTCTAAGGCTAAGCTCACACTGACTCAACATATTTCTGTTGGTCCGGTGCCGACTTTTGGCGGCGCGCGCCACCTGGGAGCGCTGGCGATGCCGACTAAAGTCGGCACGCGCAGTTAACGTGTTAATGTAGATGGTAAGAGAAGGCATTGCAAGAGGTTGTTTAGGTGAACATATTTACACTACAAATTATCATATTATTAAGTGTTCCTCATACTTCTGTCATTTTGTTACAGGATCCCAGTGAAAGACAAATCAAAATTCAAATAGTAGACATAGACGATAATCTACCTCAGTTTGCTGATAGTAATGTTACAATAGGTAAGCTTCTTCCTTATTGTGTTTCTCAATGCTATTTTTCAAAGAGTTATATTTATTTGAGTGTAAAAACATGAAGAGAAAAACAAACTAACTATATCGAATTTACTTCAATTAAACATTTGCTGTCTAAAATCATTTTATTTGGCAAAATTGTGGAACAGACTCAATTCAGGTACTGTTTAGTTATATTTGTCTAAAAATAAAATCTGAAATACACATCACACACTGTAGATCATGCAATGTGTCAAAATAGATAATATAACAATTTTCTTTACCAATATTTCAGGCAATTTAGAGTAACCATCTAGACTTCAACTCAGTTGACATTTAAAATGGAGGTTGTAAGAAAGAGGGGAAAGAGGTTGCAGGTTTTACTTGGCGAAGGAGAGTAGGGGTTGGTCTTGGCAAGAATGTGTAGAGAGGGTGACCAGTTTTCAGTCTACATGTTTTGTCTCACATTCGTTAACCTTTGAAAATCACGTGTATTGAAGTTTCCAGAATCTTCCTGAGAACACTCTGGACTTTTATTTTATTCAAATTTTGCTCACAAGCTTTACTTAAGTCAAGGTCTTGTTGTTTATTAGAACCATCTGTGTGTTTTCTGAATTCAATGGCTCCTAGGATCTTCCTTTCGAGGTTATTATAATTATATGCTCTAATTAGGTTTATGTTGAAAATTTGAAACGTCAACTGTGTAGAAGCTCCACATTAAAAATATTTGTAGATCAATGAGCATTTCATCTGTTTTGACACAATCCCAAAGTCCACAAAATGATCCCCTTTACAAAACTAAATTCAATCTGTTATTTCAAGTGCAGATTTGCTCACATTATGAAAACTGAGCAATCTTTTTATTCTAATGCATATTTTTTTATATCTCAGAAAAATAAAATAGTTTCAGTATATTATGAGAATAGAAAAAACAACATTAAGCTCATTACCTCTTTACAGGAGTGAGAGTGAATGTTCCAATCGACACTCTTCTTCTCACACTGTCGGCAACTGACCTTGATGCAGACGCAGAGCCGATCACTTATCAGCTGGAGAGCCTCAGGTTTAGTCGAGACGCTGTGGAACTCTCCGAAAACAAAACCTTCTTCTCCTTGGACAATGTGACCGGAGAGCTGAGGACTGCAACGTCAATGACACCTTTCTCTGACGGACACTTTACTCTTACCATATCAGCGTCCAACAGTCCCAACAAGACCTACGCGACTGTAAAGGTAACAAATACTTTACGTTAGTTGTTTGGAAAAGAGTTAGAGTTCAGCCAGCATCCCTGAGAAAAATAGTCCAGTGGCTGATAGATACACTATTCAAAACGTAATGTATTTCAACCAATTACGGCTTTCTCAGAGAGTAGGTTGAAGAGAAATTTAATAGAAGATTTATTTCTCATTGACATTCGTATCTGTTACTGTTTCATGAATAAAGTAGCTGAACTCGACTGTACTGACTAACAACTGATACCCATTTTTCAGATATTTGTGGTGAGGGAGAGGGGTTTGCTCAAGTTTGTATTCAGTCGCCCTCCAGCTGATGTGAGACAGTCCTTGCCAGAGTTCAGACGTGAGATTGAGAAGGCACTGGCTGTACCAGCTTCGCTCAACGTCTACGATGCACAGTTCCACGCAAAACTAGATGGCAGTTTGGACTTCAGTAGCACAAGGTAATCTTCCAGCCTTATACAAGATTTTTACTCTTAACATAGTTGACAAGAATGATTATAGATAAATTAAATTTTTCTGTTTGCCTTAGTTTTTGAGAGAGTCGTATTCAAGTGATGGCGATGATTTTAAATAAATATTTTGCTGCAGGTGTAGCATCTTCATTGATCTTGTTTATAACTTACACTAGAATTTTCATCACTGTCTATTTATATCTACACAACGGCACAGCATGATACAACAGAGCATTGATGAGCATGCTGCGTGATGTCCGTAGTCAGTGTCCTTGAGTCGACTAAAAGGTCCACTCTCTCTTTTGTGGTGTTGCCAATTATCCTGGTTGCCTTCGTGCGGTATCTAAACTCAAACCAAAAGTATTAGAAAGTTATCAAATCTACACTCACTCAAACGATGATAGACCACGGCACCCTCAAAAGAGACACTATAAATCCTGTTTGAGGTGGATAAACTAATATATCTTATATTGTATGGTTAGGAAAACTGGAGAATAGGCCTACACTACAGTAAAGAAATATTTAAAGGATAATCCTATGTTTCTGCCATTCTAGCTCATGCTTCCAGCTAGTTGGAGACAAAGTTCTAGATCTGAAAGAGATGGAAAACCTGCTGCAGCCCGGCCGTAGTGTGGAGATCGACAAAGTTTACTCCACTTTTAATGTCCAAGATGTGCAAGTAAGGGTATTTTCTACAATATTTACAATCTACATAGAATCTATCACTATCATCATTATTATTAAATATGTTACAAGCGACTTAATCCTTTGTTTTATCAATCTGTACAATCACCGTTTTCAGTTTTGCAGCTTTTCTGTAATGATAATAAAAGATGATTCTCGCCACAAAATGATTTTAGTACCTAGGCTAAAAAGAACCACTACTGCAGTTTATAAAAGGAAAACAGCTGTTTATGTTGCATTGTGATAAAAAATAAACTATACAACTACATTGAATTCAGGAAAGGTAATGAATGCCAATAAGATAGTACCTGCCAACCGCAAAATAATAAGCCTAGGCTTAAGTGTATAACATAATTCATTTTCCAATGATGGTGATTCAACTGTAAGAAGAAAATAAATGCAGGTTGTAGTTTTGATTAGTTTAAAAATATTTGTCTGGCAAAAGATACATTTTTACCGTTTTCTCTGCTAATCTGTCTGTCTGTGTCCAGCGCTGCGCCCTGCATCTTGGCAAGGCGGAGGTGACATGGGCTCAGTTGTGTGTTCTGGTCATCGCTGGCTTCATCGGAGTAGCGTCCCTCATATCTGGCTGTGTACTGTGCTTCTCATACAACAGGTGAGGTTAAACTGATTATTCAAAAGAGCAAAGCGGTTTTTTTACATGACCAGGATTAAATTAAATTATGGAAAAGGCAGTTTTAAAAGCTGGTTGCAGTTTGTTTTCTTACATTAATTCATTTTTGGACTGGTGTATGTAGGCGTTAATAATGTAAATGGTAATAGATGATAAGTTTTGCGAGTGTGGAGCCAAGTACTAACTATAGAGCCATTAGCCAATGAAAGCTGTCTTGCTCCTCTACTGCCCTACTGGAGACTTAAAATTTGTTAGTCTGTATAACACATAAGAGAGGGTCTCAATGGCTGGCTGCCTTAGATTTAGCTCTGTGGAGGACTTTTTAGCGTCTGTAAACACACATTTTTTATTGCTTATCAATAGTAGATTTTTCTGTCTTGATGCATACTCTGTACATTAAGCCAGTAGGCCGACAGGCTGCCGATGAAAGCCATACAAGATAAATATACTTTTATCACAATAGTAGGTTCACTGGCAGCAGGAATAAACCTTGTGAAGATTTTAAGTAACATTAAGCAATCTGACCAAATAATTCCATTTTCTTGATGTTTTAGTTTTGTATTTTGATCTTACAAGTTTATTTGATTTACAGATGGCAGAGATTCCGGTGACATTCCCTACACAGGACTACTAACCCTTGCCATAATAGTTCCCAACGAAAAGACTGGTGTCATCAACAAACATGTTAAGTTTGTAAAAATAATCAAATGTTTATATTTAGCGCAACTTATTATTTATTATGTATAGTACATTACTACCCAATAAGAATTTGTCTGTACAGGATATTTTTGTGTTTACTTATTACCTTTGCCCACTGCTGATAAACAGTAGTATCTCATTGGTTTGCTAGCATACCTACACTTAGTGCAACCCCTAAAAGCAATTAGAGTGTACTAGTAATTAATTTTCAGCAAAAACTATTATTATACGCGGTTTTTGTGCTGTTTCAATCAATTTGAATTAACTCTATACATTTATAGAATGCCTTATGGTAGCCCATTTTCATGATGATTATAAGAAAGTCTTTTATGGTAACAACTAAAGTAACAAAATGTGAGAAAGGTGTAATTAAGTTCCAGTTGCAAAATAGAGGCTATGAATGTTTGGATTTTTTATCTTCAACAACAAATTTCAAATTTGTTTATTTTTGTCAAGTTGGTAATTGTGGACATACATTCTTTGATAATACATTTCAGGGTGTCCACAGAAATTTTGTCATCAATTTCCCAGACTTTCCATGACCATTAACCATTGATTTCCATGACTCACGAACTTAACTCAAAAATTATAATATACCGTACACACACGAATAATTCTGCCTCGACAAGTTATTTCACAGAAAATATTGGAATATGTATTAACAGATAACAATGGAGTACAATAGGTACAACAATGAACTAATACAAACTCAAAACCCATAAACTAAGACAACTGTATAAATTGAAATTGTCGTACATTTGTGAAAAATTCGGAAAAATGCTACAATAGTCGCGGTTACGGCCGACTAGAGCATTGAAAGGTCCCCTGAAATCCATCCATCATTGGGGATTTCCATGACTTTCCATGACTTTTTACCTATTTCCATGACTTTCAATGACCATAATTTTTTTCCATGACTATCCCTGACTTTCCAGAATGTGGACACCCTGCATTTAATCTTTATTGAATGCAATACCATGCTCATTCACATTGGGAGGTTCATGCTCACTTTTACTTCAGGGGTTTCTTTAAGGGTAGAAATGTAGTTTTTTGGGAGAAAATTATTTAATCTCCATTGAAAAAGTTTTGGTAGGGAATGGATACTAATAAAGAGTTAAAAGAGAATATAAATTCCAATTTATTACAACACAAATCAATTTTAATACTGAACATAGTTTTGATTTTTAAAATAACCGTTTAAAACACCAAATTCTTTGATATTTTTTTTTGGAAAGAACCATTTATCGAGAACTAAATAAATGCTCATAAAATTTAAATGGAAGAACATAAAGCACACTGTTTTAGATTTAACAGTAAAAATGTATACTAAACATTTTATCATTGTATATCTCTAATAAATATTTTTTTCAAATGTTTTAGAATTGATTGCTTACTCCATACATTGTGCTGTTCATACTATAATAAAGCAACATTTATTAAAGGTTTAACAACTAACTGCTTCCATATATGTCGTAAACAAAGTATAAAACTCATATTTACAATTAACTATGTTATTGATTAGAGATTACATTCATTAAAAAAATTGCCATAAACATTTTTGATTTGGTTTCAGGCAAAACAAAACAAATTCAACAATGGATTCAGAACAATATTTACAATCCGTCTAGCACAAAATAACACGTGTCTTTACCAAAACTCAACAGATCACAACAAGATTTTACATATATTAGCACCACTTCATAGGCTAGCAAAACAACAATAGACAAGTGAGCTTATAATTAAATTCAACTTTTAAAGCTGCATGGTAAATAGCTGTTCTAAATTCCATTTAAATATACATTAAACTAAATCACATATCGATTCAACGTTTTTGCTATATTCAGCTTTAGCTTAAAAATATTTTTAAATGTTTCACATTATGTGCTCGAACAATTCTTAACAAAAACCGTATAAATAACAACTTTGCAAAATATAATATCCTAGAAGAATGTCTTTGGTTATCAAATTTGCTATTAACATATCTACAATGAACAAGACTGCTGCTACAAAAATGTTACAAAATATTGTATTAGCGAAACATGCATGGTTGAAATATTAAACAAGATATGCACATTATTAAAATGGAAGGCTATGGTTAATTAAGTACAAAACAAAACTTTTTATACAATTTGATAATATTTTGAAACATTTTAAATTTGTAAAAACTGGACGAGAACAAAATAAAAATGGAAGATTTTGCGTTTAATTTTGATTATGAGTGTAACAGGAAGACAAATTTTACTAAGCACAAATAAATTTGTTAGAAACAATTTGCATGTTTGAAAATGTAAAAAATAAATTTATGAATTTTACCTAAAAAGCGGGTGGCCAAATTATAGCACTACAGTAATTAGAGAAATATTTATTTAGAGTTTTTAAGGCGACAGCCCTCAAAAAGGCTTTGAAAAACTCTTACATCTAAGTTTTCAATTAGTAGACAAAAGTTTGACTAAGATTTCACATCTATTGTGCCATGATAAACTTTCAATATTGACAATAGCTAAGCAATTACAATTACCTTCACATTTTGTTCCCTTGATTTCATAATCAACACCATCTGACAGTTGTGAATCAAAAGGTAAATCAGCAAGAAAACATAGACATTCCTTAAGTCATTTACATTTCAAATGTACCATAATGTGGGACAAAACAAGTTCAAAGGGAAAACCAGTTGGAAATATGTTCAAAAATGATAAGTCATACTAAAGATCAGTTAAAGCTACCTATCATTAACTGATGAAAAACCAATAGTGAGGAAAAAGTCATGATGTAGGAAAATTGTCACATCTAACAGTTTATTATTTATCTAGCTTGAGAGATATCACTGTTGGGCTACGAACAAAAAAATCAATTTAAAGATACCTTTTAATGTTTGATTAGCTTTTATTCACCTATATTTTCATATAATTGGAGTAGTTTTCCAAAATAAACTGTAATTCATGCTAAAATTGGTTTCTAGGGGAATAGTTAGGCTAAGGTAGATTAACTTAAAAATTTTAAAACAAATGTTCGGAAGAAACTGAGAATTTTTACCGATTACGACTAGCAACAACAATCTACTATTGGTGTTTCACATCAGTCATAATTTCTCGTCTATGCACCCATTTACTAAACCTCACAGATTTGATAGTAACAGAATCGCTGCACTACTGTTAAATAAGTAATGCATTACTTGAATTACAGTACTGATTTGAGCACAAACCTAACAATTAGGCCTTAGAACATCTTCATTGAGAGGAGAAGACAACCATGGAGTAGAAATATTAACTACTCTACAATTTTACAAACTAGGAAGATTAAATCATATTGCTTTTTGTGATTACAGGAAAATATAAGGTAAACTAATTTAACTATGAAAATGTTTACATAAATTCAGTACAACACAAAAATGTGTAGTAACAAAGTACAATCTTTATTAAAGCAACATAATAAACACCAAATCAAGCGAAAGTTAAGTACAAACGTAAAATAGAGTAGTACAATCAAAAACAGAAAAAAACCTCTAGAGAAGTACAAAAATGGATTCATATGCACAATTTACACCTCTTAAATAAATTGTCAAGACGAATGCAATGGAATGCGAACATCCTTACGTGAAGACGTCTTGAAAGTTAAAGCAGCGCAGTGACTGAAATGTTATTGTCAAAAACAGACCTATAATACTTACAATTATATCACCTCTAGATATATTAAAGCTAACTCTAATGATATGCTAATAAATATCCGATACATATAAATGCCTGATAAAAAGATCTAATGTACATAGGAACTAAACGAGTGTTCGATAAAGGAGTAACGTAAAAAATATGCAAATCGTGCGTCTTGCCAACGTCGATAGGCTGTACAGCAACTTTACATATCAACAGTGTAACAGCGATATAAATCTGGAAAACTCGGTTAACGTTACGATATCTACAAAACAAACAGAAGCATCTGCGGTGGTCACTGTGTCTTTCGTTTGTTTTTCCGTATAGACGCGGCGGCGCTCTGGTCTAGGTTGATCCTGGTTTCCGTGAGAACGTTGGAGAAGTGTGCGTGGAAGAGCAGCACAGACTTCTTGTACATCTGCTTGGCCAGCCGAAACAGCTGTTTGATCACCACCAGGGGTGACTCGTACTCGTTGGGAACAATCCCGTCAACGTCAGACTCAAAGAAACTGTAACACAGCCAAGTGAAATTTGTTAAGTTTTAAACTTGTTCAAATAGCTTAAATGAGGGTTGTCTGTAAATTGAGGTCCGCAACAAGCTGCTTTTAACTAAAGCCAGTTAGGCTAAATCTCACACAAATCCTGTATTCTTTAGTTCCTCCAACACTATTCTAGCAAGTTCCTATATACTCAGTTCTTGTTATGAGCTGTTGTGACTATTATAGATGATAAGGGAAATCTACATACCCATCAAGTATGAACTTACAATAAAAAAAATTCAGAAGTCTGACTGAATTTTAAGTCAAAATCTTATCTTGTTTCTATTAGAACCTAAAGATTTCAAATCAAAATCGGCAAAAACAAACAGTTGGAGTCCATCGCAAGCCAGGGCCGGCATATAACCACAATGTTTGACATGCATGTGTGTAGTGTTTTTAAACCTTTTGTAATGGTTTGACGAGTATTCCAGGAGAATTTTTTTATTGTGACCTGATGACAGAGCTATAACCTCTAAAATGGAAATGTACATTGTCATCCACGACTACCAAGGTCTTCTGTGTGGAGAGGAAATGTTAGTAAGCTTGATTATTCTAAAAACAAACAGACACACCCATATTGTATCTACCTGTTGTTACCTATTAGCCTACCTCTACCTGTTCCACCTCCACTCATCCCCATTTTTGGCTCATTTACGCATCCTTCACTCTGTATCCCCTCTCAGTATTCATCAATTTAACAATAAAGAAATTCTAGTTTAAATTTGTCAAAGACGACTCACCTGAACAACGGGAACCATATCCTGGTTCGACCGGTATCTCTCTGCATCAGGGACTGGTTGTTGGCCAACGTGTGGTAGTACAGGAACAGCCTCGACGTGATGTAGAAGGCGATGAACACGTCGATAGAGTAGTGCTCATGTCCTGACAAGATGAAGAAGATCCCGAAACAGTTCAACATCCACGTGAACAAGTGCAGAATGTAAATATCTCTTGGAGTATCTGTCAGAAATTAATTCAAATTATAGTTTAGTTTTCTTAGATTTTATTCTCGAATTTAGCCAATCTAATCTTGGATTCAAACCTTTTCTTGAGATTCTGTGCCTTTAATATTTGGGTACAATATCTGAGCATTTCAATGAAAGCTAAAAAATAATCCAACATTGTCGACAAATGCTAAGTGGCTTGACCCAAATTCTTTTACCAAATTTAACTATACTAATAAATAAGTAAATCTGTTGCAGAAAATAAGGGAAATATTTATAAACCCTCATGCTACCATGAACCTAACTTGTACTTACATTCTGTGATGAAGAAGTTGAGCATGGTGAGAGCGACAGTGTGGCCACTGAACATGTAGTCCCCACACGTCCGCACCCCCTGTATAGACATGCCAGCTCCCTTCCAGATGATGTACGCCTGCTTCATCTTGTCTAACAAGTCCAGAAGCAGGGGCTCTGCAACAATATACATCATTTTCATACTTTTCAAAACACAAGATAAAACTTGAGTCAAAATAAAATTGCACAGTTCTCGTACATTTGAAAAACCATAATGTTAAACTGTGTTTTTAGAAGGCTAAAAACTTTTTGTCCTTAGTTTGCTAAAAAGTTATCTTTTACAAAGAAGTGTGATTTGGGGAACATAGGTTTCAGATTTAAACACGAGTATTTCAATTTGTAGGTATCTAACGTTGAGATCTATAGGCCTACGATCATTGCTCTTACTCCTGCAACTCCCTTCTCATGTGACCAAAACCATATTTTTGTATCAATAACCCTCCTTTCTGAGTCTCAAGAGTTTGCATTGTACTTTAAAGAGTGTGAATGAAAACGATCATACCAAATAATAACCAAAACTATCACATTTATGATTGAAACTGTGTTTGTGATTGGTTTGATATTTTGTAATAATTTGACAATATTACTATTTGGGATAGTATTTATGAAGTCCAGGATAACCCAAAGAGCAAACAACTGTTTGGCAGGCTGAGGTTGAAATAGAAACCACGTGCTCAACGATAAGGAAAAATGAAGAGGCATTGTAGGTATGACCAAAAACCTGCCCAGGTCTCAATAGCCAAGAATATGGGTGTGAGTATGATATTTTACAGAAGAAACACTTACCATTAGAAGTGGAGTTACGTGGAGTACAGTCGAGATGTGTGCCAGGAACTGACAAAGAAGTAATCAACATCGTGATACATCTGAGCAGAAACACAGTTCCTGACAATGCGAAGAACCTTCTCAGCAGTATAAACCTACGGCAAATCACAACATAATGTTAAAACTGAGCATGATCTGACTAAACAGCTGATAGTTCACAAGATTTTATATTGAAGATATTCAGGTTGCCAGTAGTTCTATTTGATCAACTAAATTGTTTATAATGGTACATTATGCGAGAAGGTACTTTATGGAATGCTCCATTATTGTTACTTTAAAAGAAAGTGAGTGCTACTTATATAATACAATTAGTATTGGATTTGACACTACAACCCGAAGAAAAATAAATTTAATATGTAGGCCTATAGGTCCAATTACATTTGATTGCAATACAAAACAATTTTTATCATCTGGGCTAAACCTTTAAGGGCCCAAGCCAAAAAATGTCCTAGACGATTGGGATTTATAAATAGTCATGACTAAAGAGCCAGCTGAACTTAGTCAGTAAAAAAGCTGTCATCTCATTTATTCAACTTTCATCCTTCACTCATCTTCAAATTGAGAAAAAAATATTCATCTTTGTGAGTCGGCATCTAGGTATCTAATCCAACCAAACTTAAAATTTGGGAAATGTAACTGTATCAAAATAAAATTGTTTTGCTAAGAATTTTTTAATACAAGAGCCTAGCATCCTTGGACGTAAAAGTGGTACAAAAAGACAATGTTACCTATACTTGTGGAAGGCCAGGACAGCCAGCCAGATGAGTAGCAGCAGTGTTCCAGTCCACTCACACATGTGAAAGGCCCATGGTATGTGTGGAACATTGTCTAGGAAGATGTCGGGCAGTGGCGGGTACTTCTTCATGTCTGGCACTCGGTCGTGTACAATCACCATCACAAACGCTGTGATCCACGTTACCACAAACAGGTAGGCTAGGGCGATCAGGGCCTGTGGACAAACCACTAGGTTAGGTTTAGAACTAAAAGTCTTTAACAACATTTACAATTTACTGTACAGTAGAATCTCAACAATACAATCTTTGGTTATCTGACCTTTCCTATCAAGTGCTGCAGTAGTAAAATAACATGCTATAACATACCGTAACGTTCTACGCTAGACTCTCATCTGGAACTGTTTTCACATTACTTCAGGCTAGGCCTAGAGGGTCGCTGCAACATAACCTACCTAAAATCCACAAGTGATTGGCGGGATTTGAACCTAGCAACCTTGAGGACTGAAGTTCCGCATTCTTCTACTACACCAACTCGTTCCCAATAGTGGTAAATGTTTAGGGCTATCAATGCAATCATTGTAGCCGTCTGCATAGTGTGGCTGATTTTTACTTGCTCTCTTAATTTAGGTAGGGAATACAATCAACCATATAGTTTGAGGTAGTAGACATGAATCCCTTATAAGTTCAGGGAACATATTTTACTAGTTGATTCAAGCAGAAATAGTTAGTGATTCAAGCAGAAATAGTTAGGCCTAAGTAGACAGCTGATTGAACACTTGAAGCATTCCTGAACATCAAACACCCTGTGACTGATATAGCTTGGCCAGTCTAAACATCAAACACCCTGACTGATATAGCTTGGCCAGTCAAAACATCAAACACCCTGACTGATATAGTTAGGCCAGTCTAAACATAAAACACCCTGTGACTGATATAGCTTGGCCAGTCTAAACATCAAACACCCTGACTGATATAGCTTGGCCAGTCAAAACATCAAACACCCTGACTGATATAGCTTGGCCAGTCTAAACATCAAACACCCTGACTGATATAGCTTGGCTAGTCAAAACATCAAACACCCTGACTGATATAGCTTGGCCAGTCTGAACATCAAACACCCTGACTGATATAGCTTGGCCAGTCTGAACATACACCCAGACTGATATAGCTTGGCCAGTCTAAACATCAAACAAACACCCTGACCGATATAGCTTGGCCAGTCTAAACATCAAACACCCTGACTGATATAGCATGGCCAGTCAAAACATCAAACACCCTGACTGATATAGCTTGGCCAGTCTAAACATCAAACACCCTGACTGATATAGCTTGGCCAGTCCAAACATCAAACACCCTGACTGGTATAGCTTGGCCAGTCTGAACATCAAACACCCTGACTGATATAGCTTGGCCAGTCTGAACATCAAACACCCTGACTGGTATAGCTTGGCCAGTCTGAACATCAAACACCCTGACTGGTATAGCTTGGCCAGTCATCAAACACCCTGACTGATATAGCTTGGCTAGTCTGAACATCAAACACCCTGACTGATATAGCTTGCCCAGTCTAGTTTTTTACCCATAGTCAATGTATAACCTTTACATGAGATAACCCTAAAAGGTTTGCTGACATGTACTAGTAAAATAGTAATGATAAGGATTACTTAAACTGACTCGTTTTGTCAGAAATAAAAAGGAGCTTAAAACAGTGAAAAAGATAAACAGCTAAAGATTCTTTAATAAGTTAAGAAGCAGTTACACTAGAGGTTAGTGTCTCAAACAATGGTGCAACAGTGGCAAGTTCACTGATTTTTTTAAGATTGGAAAGCTTTCCTTTGAAATATTTTGAATTTCTTCTCTCTTTAACAAAATAATTCTCCTGCTGTAGATAAATACTCCCCCTCCCCGTTGCAGCAAACCTGCAGACAAATTTACATGGCTGGGATTCTACTAAAATATTCCCTTCAAATTGTCAGATTTATTTCCTTCATAAATAACATTAATTTTTATTGAGTACCAGTACTGTACATAGGTTTGCTGCTACTGGGAAGGTGTTGAGGTGTGTTTTTTTTTTTATTGAAATGATGATATCTTAGTATGAAATAAACAGAATAGGCAAATTTGATTAGGCCTAATCAGAAAAAAATGTAAATTTGATTAGGAATATCTATAAACACGCAAACTAAAACAGTTTATTTATTCTCCATAAGAATAACATGCGAATTTTAAATTCACCATTTTTTAATTATCTCCGTAACCGTTGCGCATACAACAACACTTCAACATACAAAACTATTTATTTTTCTAAGCTCTACAAACTGGTTTGGAAAGAAATTATGAAGTTTTTGTTTTTAGGGTCAAAAATAGGAAAAATACATTTGTACTTTTTTTTTGTACTAAGTGAATTAATAATGAATATTTATTTATTACTTGGTACAGCGCATATACAATCTATACTTATAAAAGGCAAAGCCCTCACTGACACGCTCACTCACTCACTCATCACTAATTCTCCCACTTCCCATTTACCTAGGAGGCTGAAATTCAGTACAGTAACGATTCTTTGGGCATTAAATAGGAAAACTAAGTAGTTTTTATTCTGATCGGGCTTTCGGGCTCCGCCCCAGTGGCTCTGGAGTTTCCCATGTTAACCTTATGATTTTTCATATTTAAAAGGAATTAATGAATCTTAAGAGCTGTTTTAATTAAACAAGTTGGTTCTGTTCTATGATGTTCACTAGCATTAAAGTTACAAGGATTACCAACAGGGTGCAGCACTATTATTTTTTTTTTAATTTATGACAACAGCTAATTTGCAGCTATATTAGCTGTAAATTAGTATGCAAATTAGTGCAAATAAGTATCACTGGTGAGTGAGCGTAGCGAACGAACTTCAAGCTGGAGGCGAGTTAGCGTAGCGAACGAGCTAACCTGAAGGCAAGTGAGCGCAGCGAACGAGCTCCAACCTAAAGGTGAGTGAGCGTAGCGAACAAACTTCAACCAGGACGTGATTGAGCCATGTGAACGAGCTCATCTTGAAAATTAAGAAGTTAAACGGGGCAAAGCCCGCGGGTACAGCTAGTGAATTTATATAATACAAAACTGAATAAGCCTTAATAAAGGCTTGTCCGCAGCGTTTTTTATGATACTCATCCCATTCATCCCATCATGTTTGTGATTCATCCCATAAAACCCCTTTAAACAGGGGTAAAAGGTAATGAGGGTTTTTTCACAAACTCATAAGAATAAACGTAGGGTTACACAATTGTAAAAAATTCCATCAAAATTGGATAATTTTTTCTCAAAACTAACACATATATATGCATTCCAATGAACGGAGGATGTTTTTGGGCTCTGGAGACCTCAAAACGAAAAAGTAAATCGGTCCTGGGTCTAGGTCTATGAGACCTACGGTAATAGCTTATTCCCTGTATGGGAAATTCGCTAAAAACATCAGAAACTAGGATGCAAAATATATTTACAAGTAGCCTAATAGAATAGTAAGAATGAACAACCAAAAAGACTAAAAAGAGTAATTATATTTCATTACTAATAAGAAATAGATGTTGAAGAAAGTTTTAAGTATTGTTGGTAATTTGTTGTACAGTATACTATGAGTTGTAAGAATTTTTTCAGGCCAAAGTTTTTTTCTCGTTCATCACAAATGTTACGAAACATTGCCGTGATCAAGCTCATGGTTCATTTTAAAATCTAAAAGTGTACTTTGTCTCAAAGCTATGAATTTATTGATCATTTTGTTGTTTTCCAATTCACTACAAAACAGTGATTTCATGATGGAATGTAAAGTAAATAAAAACACATATGGAATTAGCAATACCAATAATGTTTCTAATAGAAATTAAAACAAACTCGTATTAAATTGATTGTAAATGCCATTGTCTACAGTATCATACAGTACTCAATTGATCATTTGACCTTGTTTAAACAGTTGGGAATTCGTCATCAGTTGCATGTGTTGTAGGAAGGAAACCAGTGTTAAAACAATAAATACACCAACGTGTTATTTTTACACTAACAACCATTATTCCCCACAGACAGATTGTAAATGTATATTACCTTGATATGGTTACTACGATAGTGGCGATAGAATTTCTCTTCCAGCTGCTGAAAGTGTTTGATATATATTAAGAAATGTAAAAGTTGAGTGCTTCAGATCCAACTATACAGAATAACGATTCAATAACTTACTTTTTGCAAGCTTTTTTGGACAAGCTCAAAAAAATAGTCATGCTGTCATTTGAATTGGCTTCTCTAAAGTAATATTTAAAGCAGCACCTCATTGTTCATAGTAATTCTTTTAACTGATTGCCAAGTCGTATTTAGTAATTAAGACTATTCTAAGAATTTACCTTGATCTCGAAATCACTGAAACCAGGGTGTTACTATTCAATGATAAAAATGGGGTTTTGAAAAGTAAAAAATGTTTCTGTACAATTAGTTTTACCTGAATGCATGCAACAAGCTGATACAATTTATAATTTTACTTCCCAAAGTAGTTGTTTTCACTGTTCATTTATAGCCTATCATTGGTTAAAACGGAGATTTTAACTCAAGTTATTCTGATCTTCTAAATTAAACCGTTTTGGCCTACCAATAAGTAGTTTTCTTTTTAACTAAACACAGAATGGTTTAACAGACAAAAGTATCAAATAAACAAGATCGTTAAAATTTTGACTGTGAACAGCAAGGAATACAAGTACACAAAAAGAAGAGGGCTGAAAACACACCCTTGTAGTATCCCAATTCAGAGCATTACCTTCCATATCTCAGGCCGCAAGGCAGTAACAGTCCCATCCTCTGATGAAGGTGACGAATGAGGCAAGAGGTACGAGTCTTCTGTCGTGTAGGCCTCTAAACTGTGTTGACGCATGGAGTAGTAATAGTCCAGCTGGAACAACACCACAGACTTTACTTTTGTGTTAGAGGTTCATCTTACAAATCGGAAGCTTGAACGATAAAATATTTTATGAGTAATCTTTTTGAATGTTTAGAACTGGACCCAGCTGTCACTGATAATTGGCTAATTAATAGTTGCGGAAGTTTGGACTACGCTACTAACTTAGGCAAAGACAAGTAAAGTTTCTGGGTAATACTTTCTGGGTTGTCAAATGGAAGCTGCTGGACTAGACGGGTCACGACACTGGCAGAATTTGGTATATCCTCAAAAGAGCATTAAATTGACATTTTCAAGGTGTGGCGCTTCATTGTACCGCGTTAAGTCCTTTCTATCTAAGGCGATATGGCTACACTAGACAGTAAAGGAAATGCAAAGGAACTTTCTGGTTAGATGTAATACATGCTCAGTCGAGAATTGGTTGCTTGCCCACCCAAACTCTTGAAAGGAATGGTTCCTGGCAGTTTCCTTTACGTGCCTTGTGGTGTGTAGTCCTAAGGACAGAATTTGTCCTTGAAAATCCCTTGAGAACAGATTCATTGATTGTATAATCTTGTATTGAGAAATCTAAGCGATGTATTAATGTAATAACTACACATTTGTCCACTTGCAATTGCATAGCATTATTTTTGCACCAGTATTCGTCTTCAATGTTGCTGAGGAAATTTTTGGGATGATTTTATTGTAGTCACTAGATATTATGTTAAAGAAATTCATGATATCTGCAAACATGAGAAAAATTGAACGTATTACAAGCTTGAAGTCATTTATAAATAGGCTGAAGAGTATTGGGCCAAGGTGAACTCCTTGAGGAACTCCTGACAATACATTGAATGGCTGTGATGTACTGTCATCACAAGTTACAACAAGATGCAAGATGACATATTGAAATTAGAGTTATGAAATGAAATGAATTCTTTGAAATAAAAGGAAAAATGAAAAAAAAATGAGTAGGTTGGTTTTAAAACTTTATTGAAAGAAGTCAACTTTATCAATATTCCAACAGAGTGAAGAATGGCAGAAAACAATAATTGAGATCTAAAAGGTGATTTTATGTTAATTTAAATTAATAAGATTGTTTGTGAAGAATTTATCAAGGACTCTTGACTCTTATATAAACTCATTACTTATATAAAGATGGATGAATAAATGTGTGTTGTAAGCTTAGTTTAATTAATGATTGATGGGATTACCTTGACTTTCAAACACCAGTAATGTGGGAAAGCTAGCCAGGACTAAATAACAGTTGAGATACTTAATCTAATTCCCCAGCAGAATCACTCATTTTCACCAACTATTAAACTCAGGTTTATGTTATCACTTTAAATCTTGTATTTGTTGATAAGACTTTGTGTTTCATTTCAAAAACAAGTTTGAGAGACATGTAGCAAACATGTATCTACAAATACTACAGCTGCTTTATTTTAAAGCTATAAGCAACCACTTGCCAGATTGTTTTCAAACTGGTCAGTAAAAATCTCAATACTAATTTGCACTACTAATTGAACTAATACTAAATAACTAATTGTAATACTAATTTAACTAGGCCTCTGTTCAAAAACGGGTTTAGAACGATTTGAGCTTGTCCTTAGTCCAGAATTTGAGTCAACGTTGTAGTGTGGATAAAAGTTTAAAAATAGCGTGTGAAAGTATACTATACAATTAATTACACTACTAAGTGTACTAAGGATTACAGATGTTTTCCTAACCTTGAGCAAAGCAAATAGACAGCTGACAAAGTAGCTTGTTGTTCTTGCAAGAAATTATAGAACATAATTTGTTGTCTCGATATATGATAAATTCTTTCTTGGTTGCACACTGATTTCAATTTACAAGTCATTTGTAAAGGTAGAAAAGTGTCTCTATTGACACTTCCGAATTGGAAAAAACATTATGCCAATGCTTGACTTTAGATGCTGTTATAGACATCCAAACTTCTCCCAGATCAGCTGTGTAATAAGTCTTTTAAAGTAAAGAAAACCTGGTAAAATGAGCCTTTTACATACTGTGCTGTCTTATACAGTTTAATTATCTCGTTTAGTTCTCTTATATGATAATTATAAATGGAACATAAATTATGCTACAAATTTCACACAGTCACCTTTTAAGTTCGGCATGGTTGAAAAATGTTTGTGGAAAATGTTTATTTTACAGCAGTACACACAGTAGCTTGATCTAACATTGGCAGTTACTTTAAACTGTGAAATAGAGAAGTTTTTAGCTAATTCTCACAGAGTCAAAAGGTCAACAATACAAAATAAAAATGAAGAGCCTTAGGATGAAAGTAATCAAATGTAAAATCTACTGTAATGTGGATGTATTGAACTATATTTAAAGATAAATGTAAAAGTAATTAAATAATTATGCTAATTTTGAAAATGAATCAAGAATGTATTTAGAAAACTTATCAAATATATTTCAACTAAGTTGTTCAGAAAACCCATTACTCAAACCAAACTAAGCGCTTTTTCATCACCGAAAGAAAGTTGACAAAAGAGGAGTGCACTGTTTACATGTGGTTGAGTCAGTTTACTTGGTAAATACTGTCGTTTTTATCCTTGACCTATAAGATTAACACGTTTGATGAGTTATATATGTTCGTGCATTATTCCAATGGTGCGTTACGAGTTCTCTAGATCTATTCCGTTATGATTACCCAGGTGTGATACGAGACCCCGAGATTACGTTGCACAGTAATCGTTTGCGCATCATAACTTCGCAAAGAAAGGAGAGAGAGCGCTCTGTGTTTGTTTAGGCCAACCAGTACAATGTTGACAACCTTCAGACAGCCCAGGAATTAAATATGACATAATCGAACGAGACCCTGAGATCTCGTATTGAACAGCTGTAATAGTAAATTCGTTTTATTATTTCTTTTCCTACAATAAAACATTATAAAAAGATATGTTTTCTATTTATTTACAAATTTCTAATAATCTTAACCTTAATAAAATAGAAATTTTATGATCACTTTTCATAGTAATGCGGTAACAATATCCATACATAAAGGCTAATTTGATATAACTGAGCTATTTTTAGACATAATTGCTTGATAGATTAAAATATGGCTTTACTTATATCTTGTACTCTGCTAAATAACCACTTAATAACACCTGAGATAGCAGTGTTATAAACAAATTATTATGTGGACGTATTCAACAGGTAGAAGTAGAAAAATTACCAAACAAATAAAACACTGCAATTTCATTTCCTAAAATTTTGAAACCCTACAAACATGCAAAACCAACAAATCATAGGTTTGGACCGCTTTTCCAAAAAGATTTGGAATAGGCTAACTCTCACTCTCTCCCTCTCTCTCTCTCACACACACACACTTTACAAAAAAAATACCACCAGCATAAACAATAAAGAAGAGAATAACTTAACACTTAAATTAAAACAAAGAACGGTTTAAGTCTCAACTCAAGACAAAAAAAAATAAAAAAATAGGCCTGCTATAAATTCTTGCCCTCTGTTAACTTATAAAAAATTAATAGAAATCTTGTCCAAACAAAATTTTGAAAATACATTTAAGTACTGTAATTACTTGTGGTCTGTACAAACCACAAATACTAGAAAAGACCCGGTATGGATCATAAACATAAACAAATGACCCGAAAGTAAACATTATTTAACATTGTTTAAATGGAACTATCTAAACCATATGTTAATGCTATTAGTATAGGAATTGGGGCCAAAAACGTCATTTGTTTATGTTTATGATCCATAACCCAAACCTTCAAAAATGGAGCACAAATAATTTTCCAATAAACACTGCAAATCAGGAGGCCTAAGTTTACAATTTTTATTGTTGTTGCTCATTTTAATAAATACTCAATGAGGTACTTTTTGTCTATGTAAGAAGGTTAACCCACCATTGTAAATAAATTGACACTAAATCATTTCAAAAATGTACAGAAGGACAATAATAAAAAAAATTCTATTGAAGAAAGGTAGGAAATGCTATACTATGACTCAGTACAAGACAGTACACTGATAATGTTGTGTGTACAATTGATAACAAAACCTAACATATAGGGAAGTCTACTAAAACCTTGTTCATGAGCAATTCACGACCTCTGATATTAATTACTAAAATGCCATGTTAGGTCTGCTCTCTTATCTATTCAAGGTCTTGTGCAATTGATAAATCAATCCGGTCAATGTCAAAAACAACAATTGCCAAACTCGGACATTACAAACAATGTAGATTAGTAAAATGTCTATCCAGAAATTGGCAAGCGATGCAAAATTATTCCGTTCATTGGCCAAGCAAAATATTTTGCAGTAACACATTTGTAAATAAATTAGTTTCACAATATAAACACAATAAGCTATTCTTTTCTGATTGTGTGTACAAAATATGTGAAAATAGCACAAAAACACTTTGCAAACAAAAACCAATTTGAAATTGTTAAAGCAACCTATTTGATTAGTGTTTATTTAGGTATAATTTAATTAGTTGGTAATTATAAATTGTACTCTATGAATAAAGCTTAGTAAAATTTACTGACACAATGATAAAGAGTTCTAATGTAAAACATAATAATCCATTAATTCCATCCTAGAATCTATAAATCCCACTCTCAGCTTTTAAAATGCTACAAAAAAATAGCAATTGATGTGTGTACGATAGTAAAAGTTTAACTATTTACTGTGGCCTAAATGTTGTAAAAATGTACAATTAAAAAACTATATTTCTGCTACACCAGCTGGTAGGCTAGTGCCACCATATAGACAACAGCATTTGTTTCATAAGAATAATTTGTTCCGTTTTACAGGTGTACAATGAATTTATTGTAACTTGAGAATCAACACTACTATCGCTTTAAACATTTATCTGTGGGAAAAGACAAAACAAAAATCCTGTTAATACCTATACACTCAATGTGGATCTGTTGTAAAAAAAGGGAATAATTAATTAAAATCCTGATTACAAAAAAATTGGAAACTGGACAATTTAACTTAAACATGAAACTAGCAATATAAATTGATCTTCCAATTTGGCCAGCATTAATATTGAACGGAAAATCTTGTAAGATGCAAAATTCACCAAAACTGGATTTGTCTTGATCAACAACAACTGTAGTTTTACAGCCTTATGGGCAACCAACCAATGAAACTTGCATAGGTACGGTATATTCAGGCCAACTTTTTAAATGGTCCAATTGTCTTAATATGTTATTTAAAAAAAATATAAGTGTAGGCCTATATGTTTTACAAAAATATTAGTATATATATTAGCCTAATTTATTGGCTGAGTTTGGGGGTCCAGTCATTGAAACAACTCAAAAAACCTCAGAAACAACAAAACTTGACGAATCTTTTAAAACTGACAAATAAATCAATAACAATCCAAACAAAACAGAAAAACAAAGGGAAAAATATTTTTAGTCGCTTTTAAGCTAGTAGGCTAACTTAACTAGTAGCCCGTTTGACCATAAAATTCAAATGAAATAAGAAAACAATTAACATTTCACAACCAACAACTGTTTGGAAATGGAAAAAGTTTAGTAGATTTAAGCTGCTTGTCGAGAATACTTAAATTAGGCTACCATAAATATTTTCAAAATCTTAAATTAACAAGCAGGCCTACAAGTAATAAGTATTGGTATGTAGAGTCAAATGAGTAGTTTAGGGGGTCAAGTCTAGTGACTATTTATGTCACCAAGTGTAGGTCAGTAACAGCTAGGTAATGCTCTATAAATATACTAGACTCTTGGATGACACAGTAGAAGCAGATCAAGTACAACACCTTACGGAACTTTTAAATTGAATCAGAGAATGTTTTAGTTTAAAATTTAATATTCCAATCTAAGAAAAAATATTTAGGCCAACAAATAATATTGGTGTTAAAATTAAATACCCCTGCCTGCAGACTAAGCAAATTTGCATGTGCCTGGCTGGATTTCTACTAAAATATTCCCTTTAAATTGACAGATGTAGGCCTAATTCCTATTTAAATAATATTAATTTTAATGAGTACTTAGGTTTGCTGTACAGGGAAGGTATTGAGGTGTGTTTTGTTATTGAAATGCTAATAGCTTATTATGAAATTACCAAATTTGATTATAAAATATCTAGGCCTATAAAAAGAGATTATTTAGCCTACAACAGTTTATTTATTCTCCATAAGTAAAACATGGGAATTTTAAATTTAAAATTATGTTATATTATCTCTGTAACCGTTAGGCATATAACAACGCTTCAATATACAAAATTATTTCTTTTTTAAGCTCTACAAAATGTTTTAGGAATAAATTGTAAAATTTTATTTTATTTTAGTTAAACATGGGGAAACCCAATTTTTACCCCCATAAAACCCCTGTTCCCAGTCTGATCATGCTAATTTGCAAACTCATTCGAATGAACGTAGGTCACCAAACTGTTTGGTACGTTTGTACCAAATTGTAGGCCTACTTACAAATCGGATCATTTTTGCTTGAGTTATTGCACTAACGAACACACACATGTATCTTATATATAAATATGAATTTGAACGGAGTGTGTTTTTGGACTCTGGGGACCTCAAAACAAAAAAGTAAATCGGTTCTGGGTCTAGCTAGGTCTTACCATGAGACCTGCGGTAATAGCTTCATTCCCTGTATGGGAAATTCGCTAAAAATAGTTGTGCCATTCTTTTCCGGCCAAACCATTTTTTCCCGTTGGTTACTATACTCATTGATAAATTATTATAGATTAAACCAGAATTAAATGCCAATTAGCGTCAATGAATACTGGTAACAAACTAATAAAGCTTTGTACACATTTTAAGCAATGGAGATTTATCACGGTTCATAATGAATTTTTTGAAAGTTGGGTATTCGGCCAATTTATACCCATATTTATACCATTTTATACCATACAATTTTGATAAGTAGCATCTTATTGAATTTATGAATTAGACATGCTTTTGCCTAGTTAAAAATGCAACAATAATACATACTAGTTAGTTCAATTGTGCCATTGACAGACTGTACAACTACACAAAAAGTTACCTACCTTTTTGATGCACCGACATTTTAATCACCTCAAATAGCAAACAACCACTAGCCTAACTAAAAAAAATGCAGACGTACCTCGGCTTTAGTGGGTAGGCCAGCACTGTTGACGAGAGCATTAGGTATATACAGCAAAGTGGTGGGGTCGTAACCTAACTCAACCAGAGTTTGACGATTCTCCATCTTCAACTGACGGATGTCAAGCCCGAGCCTTTTAACATCTCCCAAAATCTGTAAACAAAATAATAATGTTTATAAACTTAAATTTTTACAGAGAATGTTGCCAACCTAAAAAAGCATCTCAGTTTAGGTGCATGAAAGACGAGTTCAATCCCCAAAATATAAGTTTGATAGGTTTGGCACACTTTCCTTTACAATTTTCAGTTGTTCCTTCATTGGAAACACCACTGGCTTGGACACAAATAAAGAGTAATAGGCCTACTGATGAAGAATGTAACATAATAGGCCTATTCTGTTTTAGAACAGCACTGGCGTAAATATCTCAAATAAATGTCTTTATTTCTTGGCAAGTGTACAAATTATACACTAAAAACTCTGGGTCAAATGACCTTTGTATCTTATTTGATTTTTTTGTTAATGCCTGATTTGTTTTTGTACTGTAATTTATCTTTGACTTGTGTTTTTGCAGCATGTAATCAACCTTATTGACATATCCAAATGCATGTACATGTCTAACGGAATAAAAATATTGATTCTTGATTAAATTATAATCTAAAATATCAAAAAGACTTTGATATGTTTAATTCAGTGTGTGGTGGTTGCTAGCTACAATGTAAGTAAGCCTACTGCTTTTTTGCTGTAATTGTTCGTTAGTGCTTGTTTGGTCTTTTTAACTTTTTTTATGTTAGCTTTAGTGTAGCATGTTTTACTATTGTACGGTACTTATAACTGACTTGTCTATTTTAAGCGTCCATGACAACATCGATTGCATGTAATTTTGCCTAAAGATCAATAAATGTCTTATGTCTTATTGGTAGGCCTATACACTTTCATAATATACCGACCACACCTAAGTTGGTAAAATAATACCCAAAGGTTAGGTTAGGTTAGGAAGATTTTGTTATTTAAACTACCGTAGTTAAAGTCTTATTTGGGAGCCGATTTAGCGTGGTCCGTAGGCTATGATACAAAAGTACCATTAATTTTCTTCCTTTTCTCTCATCTCTTACATAATATTATTTTGCAATCTTGTAACATACCTAAGTTATCATTATCATTTCCCTTTTGTACACATGCTATCTGTGAAAATTAGTTGTTGGTGCAAGTTTAGGCCCTATGGGGTTGATAAATGAAAGATTCTGTTTAACAAGTTCGCTGCGGGCCACTCGATCTAGGTCCTTTCTGCCAACCTGAACGCTCACCCGTGAGTGACATCGTCTACATTCCATTCAAATTCTGCACAACATCACACCGGGAAGAACGGAATTTTTTGTGTCTGCGTTTAGCAAGAAATGGGTGCTTTAATATGGTGTAGGTTGGTGGTAAATTTTCCCGTAAAATCTCATTCTGGCTTAGAAAACTTGTTGTCCCGTTTTTCTCCCTCCAATTAGCAATACAATGGGACCGGCTAGTTCCAGACAGTGCTGCTATCTGTGTGTTTCAGCAAACTACGCGACTCTCGTTGTAACGCAAAACATCACCGCATGTCATTTGCTATTTGTCAGACCAAAATATTTGAAAGCCAAATGGGTTCGCTCAACGCTGCGTCGCCATTGATAGGGCCGCAGCGAACGTGTTAATAAAAATAAATACCCCCGCCGCAGCAAACCTGCAGACTAAGCGAATTTCCATTTGACTGATTGGATTTACACTTAAATGTCTACTTAAAAATATAACATTTATTCCCGATTTAAATAGAATTAGTTTAACAAGTACTTAGGTTTGCTGCATCAGGGAGGGTAAAACTGTTTTTTTTTTGTAAAATGTTAATAGTTAGTAAGAAATAAAAACATTTTCCAAATTTGATCAAAATATGTTCATAAACAAGCAAACTACAACAGTTTACTCATTCTCCATAAGGATAACATGGGAATTTTAAATTTACAATTTTTTGGAATTTTCTCCGTAACCATTAGGCGCATAATAACGCTTCAATATACTAAATTATTTGTTTTTTGAAGCTCTACAAAATGGTTTGGAAATAAATTGCTAAATTTTATGTTTTTGGGTCAAAAATGGGAAAAACCTATTTTTACCCCATAAAACCCCCCGTAAACACCCGTTCCCATGGTCCGATCATGCTGGATCGCGAACTCGTTCGAATAAGTTAAACGTAGGTTTACACGTTTGTACCAAATTTCATCAAAATCGGATCATTTTTGCTCGAGTTATCGTGCTGACGGACACATACTGTATATACAGGGTGTTTCACGGGAACCCTGACAAACTTCAGGAAATGATTCCTGGGGTCAAAACTGGTAAAAAAAGTCCTATAAGCATATGTCCTAAACTCACTCGTTTTCTAGTTATACGTAGAAATGTGTTTTTTTAGGTTTTCAGTGTATCTGTTGAACATTTTAACCTCTAGATTGAAAAATCTACAAGATATTTTAATTAAACTTGCATAGCTAGATAGAATATTAAATTACAAAGATATTTCATAAATATTATGTGCACACATGTTGGGTATCACTGAGAAAAATGAGTTAAAAAATCAAATTTTCCCGAAAAAATAAGGATCCAAAAATTTTTTTTATTTTTGACAGCTCTTCATATTTAAACCATTTAGTCGTTTGGCTTGCAACTTTACCAAAAGTTGTAGAATTTAATGGAGAACAATAAAATATCAACTTGTGTATACCTTTTATGGGGATTATCTTTATCAAAATCAAAAATATTGTAAGGTAACACATATTAATTTAATTTGAAGGAATAAACAAAAATGTATATTTAGCTTATTTATAAACATACCTCACTAAAAATTCGTATATTGGTTTTCCTAGTTGAGAAGGTTCGTATAAAGGCCTAAAATCCTCCATCCTTTTCATTTTTTATGGTGTAAAAAAAGCATACTCACTCACTTTTCTATGTTAACATTATGAGGAAAAATAAAATAAAATAGCTCTCATATTTCTAAGTACATATTTAATTAAAACTTTTTATTTGACATAGTTTAATTGGAACTAAATAATTATAACCTAGTATACCCAAGTTTTACATGTTGTGGTATGTTTTTAATTAATATTAATATAATAATGTATCATAATAATTTTAATAAGCTTTAAATTACTGCAAATTAAAGAAGAAAAACAGTAACTAGGGAAACATCATTCTTTTTTTGCCAATATAAACTATGAAGGCTTGAAGTAAAGTTTTTTTAACTGATGAGGTTTTCAAAATGGCCTCCATTTTTAGACAGACACAGTCTAGCACGTTTAACCAGAGATGATGTAGCTGCTCTTATCATGATAGGATTACTTTTTATTGTTTCTGCTACGGTGTGAATCTTCTCTACCAGCTCTTCTCTTGTTTGAGGCTTGCTTCTGTAAACTTCTGTTTTCATGTATCCCCATAGGAAGTAATCCATCGGAGTCAGGTCGGGCGACCTAGGGGGCCAATTCACTGGTCCTTGATGAGCAATAAGTTTTTCCTCGAAACGGTTTCTCAGCGTTTCAACTACAGCTCGACTCCTGTGTGGGGGAGCACCGTCATGTTGATAAAACATCCTTGCCATTGACTGGATGGGAACATCTTCGAGCAGTTCCGGCAAAGTGTTGTTTAGGAAATGTAGATAACTTACACCGTTTTGAGCACCATCTAAGATGTGAGGTCCTACAAGTTTGTCATTTAAAAGACCGCACCAAACATTCACCGAAAACCTCTGTTGAAAGTTTGTCTCCACTGTGGCATGTGGATTGTCTTCGGCCCATATGTGGACATTTTTTGAGTTGTTTATTCCATTCCGAGTAAATTGAGCTTCATCAGTAAAGAGTATGAACTTAATTTGGTGACGATTTCCTGCTACCCAGCGACAAAACTGAGACCTTCTTAGGGTATCACCAGCGTGAAGCGCCTGAACCTTTCTTAAGTGATAAGGATATAATCCTTCATTATGTAAAATTCTCCAGGTTTTAGAAATAGACACCAGGTGCTGTCGTGAAAGCTTTCTTACGCTTGTTCCTGGGCTTTGCTGAACAGAGTGTAAGATGTCATTTTCAACCTCTACAGGAGTTTGAACTACACCGTCAGGGACAACTTTTCTAACACATCCTGTCTCCCTTAGTCGATTAAATAGATCTGTAAATACTTGCCTATTAGGCGTACGCCTATTGGGAAATCTTCTAGCGTATTCTTGAACGGATGATCTTGAATTTCCATCACAAAATCCATAAATAAATACCATATCTGCATATTCACTGTTAGTGTACATGATATTCACTGCCAATAACAATGGACTGGAAATTCAATGTAAACAAAGTATGCAACAATAAAAATTGCATCAGCTGACCGAGCAAAACAGATGATTTATTAACTGCATTTACAGCTTTACCAATATTCTATTTAATTCAAAGCTATTTTTAGTTGCACACTAAAAAATGTAATCAATTACGAAATAATAACAACAAATATCGATTTTTCAAATACCTGAACCCTTATAATCCGATCCCTCCTGAAACCCAATGAGCTTCAGTTGGTAAATGTTAGGATTTTAAATGTTTATAATAATGCGTCCAAGTTAGTGCACTTCCTAGATTTGTTGAAATTGATTGAGTTGTAAAATATTTTACTTTCTTCCATAAAATGTTTTCACGTCAACCTATACTAACTATGAAGAACTTATTTTTAAAATAGCATTTACATTTTTAAATTTAAAAGGTCAAAACGTCCATTAGGACTAATAGTTGAAAAGACTAATTATTTCCCGTAAAGGATAGGATTGTGCTAGTTTTGTGCAAAATGAATATAAAACTGGAATTTTTGGCATTAATCCTAAAGTCCTCAATCAAAATAAGTCATAAGCCAAGTTTTAATAAGATATGTTCAGAAATTTGCAAGTTGTCATATTTTATTTTTCCCTATAAGGTTAACATAGAAAAGTGAGTGAGTATGCTTGTTTTACACCATAAAAAATGAAAAGGATGGAGGATTTTAGGCCTTTATACGAACCTTCTCAACTAGGAAAACCAATATACGAATTTTTAGTGAGGTATGTTTATAAATAAGCTAAATATACATTTTTGTTTATTCCTTCAAATTAAATTAATATGTGTTACCTTACAATATTTTTGATTTTGATAAAGATAATCCCCATAAAAGGTATACACAAGTTGATATTTTATTGTTCTCCATTAAATTCTACAACTTTTGGTAAAGTTGCAAGCCAAACGACTAAATGGTTTAAGTATGAAGAGCTGTCAAAAATAAAAAATATTTTTGGATTATCATTTTTTCGGGAAAATTTGATTTTTTAACTCATTTTTCTCAGTCATACCCAACATGTGTGCACATAATATTAATGAAATCTCTTTGTAATTTAATATTCTATCTAGCTATGCAAGTTTAATTAAAATATCTTGAAGATTTTTTAATCTAGAGGTTAAAATGTTCAACAGATACACTGAAAACCTAAAAAAACACATTTTTACGTATAAATAGCAAACGATTGAGTTTAGGACATATGCTTACAGGACATTTTTTTCTAGTTTTGACCCCAGGAACCATTTCCCGAAGTTTGTCAGGGTTCCCGTGAAACACCCTGTATATATATGAATTTGAACGGATGGTGTTTTTGGCCTCTAGGGACCTCAAAACGAAAAAAAAAAAATCGGTCCCGCGTCCAGGTCTTACCATGATTACTACGGTAATAGCTTATTCCCTATATGGGAAATTCGCTAAAAAGAGCACTTCATAACCATAACTTAACTTGATGGATTAACTATGAGTTAAAAAACATTTAACTTATCCTTAAATACAAGGTTGAGCGCTTGAAAGCTATCCTTGCTGTAGGCCTTAGTTTAGCCTACTGTAATTAGCTTACGACTCCATCGCATACATTTATCTTACATTAACTTAGTAATAGGCTATTTAGGTTATGAGTTATCGATTGGATTTTAAGTTAGGTTTTCTATAAAAGAATGATAAGTTAAACTTAATTTAGCTTAAATATGTTTGAGTTTTAAATAGGCCTACGTTGACTTAAATATGTTAAATAGGCTATGTAACAGAACATTAAACCAACTTTTACAAATCACACTTACAACACCCGAACAAAGGGCACACATGCAGTCCAACATAAACCAGGCCCTAACAAAAAAATTTGGGCTACCGTCAAACGGGGCTACCTACTTTGTAAAACTTTTTTTGATTTTTGGCTGTAACTTTTATGTTTTAAATAAGAGATAGGACCATGAGAAAAATTCCAAATTGTGCATTTCAGTTAGTTCTTTTGAGTGCTGCATTTGAAAAAAATCTATATTAAATACTTTGACAAAAAATTTAAAAAAATGGCGGCTATCAAAGTAGCCCCGCTATGGGGCTACTTTGTATAGACCTAATGAGCTTTAATGCCTTGTCACAATGTAACCACTGGTTAAAGGGGTACGGATATGCTTTTAAAATATGCCAAAAAATTTGATAAAAGTGGGTAGGTTGTGCATACAAAAGTTCGGGGACGTTTTTTTTTTCGCAAAAAAATCGATTCATGTTTAAATATTTTTTATGATAACAAAGAATAAGTTATAGGCCTATATATTTTTGAGTGAGTGTTAAAATAAGATTACCTACGGTATGTTATAAGTTAAGGAAGATTTTAATATATAAGTTACCATGGTTACTACTAAAACTAAAATTTAAAAAAATATTTGAGGTAAAAACAAAAGTTTTATCATTGTAGCCCCGCGAGTAAAAGTAGCCCCAATTGACGGTACTTGAAATTCAGAGTTTAACAAAATTCAAATTAGAATTGAAAAAATATCGGGTACACTTCCATATCTGTTGGCACAAACAACCGAATGAGTAATATTGATTATTCGGTTGTTTACTTCGATATATCGTTTGGTTGGTTAGGTTAGGTTAACCTTACCTAACTAACCAAATGATATATCGAATAATCGATATATCGATCGATATTTTCATTCGGCTGTTTGTGCCAACAGATATGGAAGTGTAAGTACCCAAAATATCTAGTGTAGTTAAGTTTTCATGACATAGACTACCTTAACGGTGACAAAAACTAGTATTTAAGTTTGGTTATTCTTTGTAGCCTATTAACCATGACCTGTCCAATTCCTTAAGGCAAAGGACTACGGACGGAGAGAGCATGTACATCATGTATGAGTTAATTATTACCTATTGTTCTAAAAGGCCTAGGCCTATTTACAATTTAACCATGGTGGGATTGGATCAAAGCCTTCTCTAATAGAAGGCCACGACATTGGTGTGTGGCAATATCGCAAATGCATGCCTATTGCCATGGTTACTTAATAACAGAAATAACAAAATTGTGTAAACATACTTACACATCGCCTTATGTTCCATTATAAATTAGTAAGTTACAACAGCAGTGTGTTGCACTTTTTGTCTCGCCGCTGCCTTGTATTTAAGCTTAAGAGGGCTGCACTTTACTTGACGTCCTACACTCATTCGATTGTTTTTTCGATTCGATATTTTCATTCGATTGTTTCATTCGATATATCGTTTGGTTAGTTAGGTTAGGTTAACCTTACCTAACTAACCAAACGATATATCGAATGAAGCAATCGATTAATCGATATATCGATTGATATTTTCATTCGAATGAGTGTAGGACGTCAAGTAAAGTGCAGCCCTTAAGAGGAGGCCTTACCCTAGTAGAGTTGGATTAGGCCTAGGTTAGTTTCTCTCACTTCTTGTTTGCGTTAAATAAATTAAACCTAGGATCAATTGGAGGCCGGACTCCGGAGGGGATAGATTTCCTCCCCTAAGCACCTAACTTGAAAGGAGATCATAGCTATAGCCTAGCTAAAGTTAGCACAGCCTAAATTTAGGACCTACCTGAATGCTCAGTGGAGAAGTTCGCAAATCGTGTTCATTCAGAAGTAGAAGAGCTTTTCCATCAATACTATGTTGGTTGCAGAGAAGATCAACATACTTAGAGTGACCCTTCTCTTTTAACCAATCAGCAACAGCCTCAGTGGACCATTCAATAACGTTTTTGGAATCACATGAAGATGAAGACATTTTGCTTTGTTTTTTATGGTACTTGCACATTTGTATCAAGGAGCTAGTGTCATGTTAACACTATTAGATAATAATAAGAATGTTAAAGTCCAGACGAGAGACTGCCCTAATACACACAGTAAGTTAGCCTAATAGTTAATTATTTCTAAGTTAATTCTTCAAGATAATTAACTAACTTAGGCCTAAACCAAATATTTTTAATAGGCCCTAACTGTGTAGATTCGCTAATGCACACATGAGGCTGCAATAACCAAATAGAAAAAATTCAGGATTAAACTGATTAACTGCACCAGTAATTAACTTAATTAATCAGTAGAAAACTTTACTGTTCAATTTCTACTAACTGTACTTCTGCCTTGCCTTCTGCTGCTAGTCGAAGTCCAATAGTCCAAACGACACACGCAACTGAGTGAACTGACAGACAACACAACCAAACCGAAACGAAACCACACACAACACTCTCACCCAACTCACTCGCTCCACTCCCACTGCTTGGCTTGGGGCTTGGCGATTTATTTTACAACGCAATCTATCAGACATTTTATTAATTTATCAAGCATTTATTTTAATATTAACTAGTGTACATGTTGCTCGAATTCGAGCAATTATTGCAAAGTATTACAGGAGTCATTTAAAAACGAATAACAGTCATATTTACAATGAGTTTAAAGAGTCAACTCAAAGATAACTGGTGTGTAACTCAGACCATGTTTATCTTTGTTATTGATAAACCTTAAGTTAATACTGTTAATACTGTTCGATGAAATTGAAATGGCAACCATAAATAGTAGGTATTTTAAGCCAAGTATAGCCGATTTTCTCCTTCTCAAAATGCCTCGCTGTACAGGCAACACAGGTCATTGATAGAGGGTCAATTATTGAGAACGAAAAAACGTTTTGGGGTAGCGTTAGGGCGCATTTGTAACCTACGCGCCACTGTTCTGTAGCTGCGGCCGTTATCACGATTACGCCTCCTGTCTATGTTTCGTTGTCGTCGCGTCGGAGGCATTTAAAAGAAAAAAAACAACAAATAAACAAATTATAGCTACACAAAACAACGATACATGCACAAATTTAAGTAACAATATGCTAACACGATCCCTTATAGCGACACAAAACAACGATAAATACACAAATTTAAGATACAACCATACCATACTAACACGATCCGTCTTGGGGGTTATGTTTACACAAACTCAAATAGTAAACAATGCGTTTCATTGAATTGAAAAATAAATAACAGCAATTAAACTATACAGCTGATCAAAATGTAAACAATTGTGTTCTCTATAAGGATAACATGGGAACTTTCAAAGCCACTGGGGCAGAGCCCAAGGGACTTTTTCAAAAATGTAAGGTCAGTTTGCAAATCTACGCGACACGCTCTTTCCAATGAGACGTCAATGGATAAAATCGGTTAGGAAATGGCGGAGGAGTTCAACCGACAAACTTTCGTGTAGCGTATTAATTATATAGATTTATTATCTCTGTCAAAGACGAAGAACTCAAGTACACAAGTATACTCTTGACAAAAAAAAATTACTCTCTCCTCATGGGCATGGGCAATTAATTATTAATTTACAACACGAAAAGAGGAACACACTGGAAAAAATTGTAAACTTAATTATAGTTACTTAATTAAGTTTACAAGTTATTATTAATTATAACTTTGTTCCAACCGTTTCGACTCGTACAAAATTTGGAATCCCAGCTCCATCGCTATGGTCTATCATCATCTGTTCTCCCGCCCGCTGATAACTGACTGCAATTTCTTTCTTGATCGTCTTGGGCCACATGCTTGATCTTAAAACTAGCGGCAGAAATAGCCGCCTTAATTAATAAATGGAGGGGGACAAGAGATTTCAAGATTGTTTGGGAGGCGCCGTGGTTCTGTGTGTACCTCGTTTTCCAAAAATGACAAAACCGTATGTTTTTTGAAGATTTTTCGGATAATTTTAAGCGATTACTCCAAAAAACATTGAAATTCATTCCCAAAAATTCCACCTACAGTTGTCACAAGTGAAGTAAATGGTGCATGTCTTTCTTCATAAATTTTTGTGTATTTTTTGCCATCTTCTGGTTTTTTTAAAACTTTTGATGGTCAGTGAAAACGTAAGATTGGAAACATAACATTATTGTCAACGACACGATACAAAGGTTTGTGAGTCACTTTTTTATATTAGGATGTGCTGTAGTTAAATACATCGTGATCTCTGAAGATGCCACACTTCGTGACGAAATGCGCATCAGTAAACTAATGCACTTCAAGAACTAAATATAGAGGCAATCCCTAGGTAATTAACAAAATGGAGGTAACTAAAAAGGTTCTTGGAACTGTGTAACAATAGCTTAGGTAAAAGTTATTGTCAGATTTATTGGTCTAACTTTGAAATAATTTTACAGCCAGAGAGACAATTAGACAACAATTTCAAAATCGGTAATAAAATTACCGACATATATTGGCATCGCCCGTGCACTTGACTAAATTAGGCCCTAAATATATATGCTGATCGTTGGTGTATTGTATTATGATAAAATTACTCTTAATGATTTGTTAAGTTTTTACACATTATACAGTTATACTGCAGACAAAGAACATAACGACATAACACAAATCGCACTCTTGATTCTTATCTGCTATGGCTACATTGCAGATAACCACTGAGCTCCAGTACTGACAACAGAACAGAGCTAAAGCAGCAGCAGGAGCAGACTGCAGCTAGTGCAGCTGCCTGCAGACAACTTCAATCATAACCAAACCATTCACGTTGTTGGTTGTTATTGTTATTGTACTATAACCTCAAATTTATTTGGATTTAGGTTTTGTTTTGACTTAATTTAGTTTTAATTAATTGATATTCAGTAATGTGATAAGTACATTTTTCATGAAACATAAATAATTATGGTAGCAAAGAAATTTGTAAGGATTGCTTTGGGAATTTCAGGGGGCGTGGACAGTTCTGTAGCTGCTCTGATTTTGAAAAGGAAAGGTTTAGATGTTCAAGGTGTGTTCATGAGAAATTGGGATGTCTCTGACGAAACAGGAAAGTGCTCTGTGAATAAAGATTTAGAAGATGCTGAGAAAACATGTTCAAAATTAGGAATTCCGCTTCATGAAGTGAACTTTTCTAAAGAGTACTGGAATTTTGTGTTCAGTGATTTCATCGAACAATATCAGATGGGTAAAACACCCAATCCTGACATTCTGTGTAATAAATTTATCAAGTTTAACCAATTTGTAAATTATTCTTTAAATAGGTTGGGAGCTGATGCAATAGCAACAGGTCACTATGCGCAAACATCCTTTGGGCCATTTTTAGAAGCTTTTGATAACCAACAAGGAGTTAGACTGTTAAAAGCCGTAGACTCATTTAAAGATCAAACGCTTTTCCTTCATCAAGTACACCAAGAAGCTTTACAAAAGACAATGTTTCCTTTAGGTAAATTCAAAAAGGCTCAAGTAAAATCCATTGCTAGAGAAAATAACCTTATGCATGTTTTAAATAAAAAGGAAAGTACAGGAATCTGTTTTGTAGGCAAAAGAAATTTTTCCCAATTTATATCCGAGTACATACCAGACAGACCAGGAGTATTTGTTGATATAGATTCTGGCAAGGTTGTTGGGTCTCATAAAGGTATCCACTATTGGACGATTGGTCAGCGATGTAGGATAGGCGGGAATCCTGACCGCTGCTTTGTTGCAAGGTTAATTCCAGAAACGCAAGAGGTTCAGGTAGCTTTTGGTGCAAATCATCCTGTTTTGTGGAGTCAACATATAACAACATCAAGAGCCCACTGGATACATTCTGAACCAGAAATCCTAAGGGAAGGTGGAGTACTTGACTGTGATTTTCGCTTTCAGCATACGGATCCACTTTTACCATGTAAAGTAATGTTAAAGGATAACGACTCTCTTCTTATCAAACTAGATAAACCGTTGTTTGCCATAACTTCTGGACAGTTTGCTGTGTTGTACAAAGGTAATGAATGTTTAGGAGGAGCTCAAATAAAAAATTCAGCACCCAGTTTTTTCTCTCAATATTGCTTAGATAACAAATTAAATTACAATTTTCAATCTCATAAAACTCACGATTTTTGTAACAAATAGCTTGATTAAAAAAGCTACTTTTATATATTTTAATAAAGATTTGTGACGTTTAAGCTTTAAGTGCATTATTTTAACCACCTTTTCCCCTTATTGTAAGGAAAAACTTATTGTCTATAAAAAAATTGCAGTGTTCCAAATTAGTTGTGAAGCAGAGTGGCAGTTAATCAATGTGCACAAGAGCTTGTAACAATACTGAAAAATCATAATTATGCACAACTTAAAATATCATAATTCAGGTGTAAGTAAATAATACACAAAATCTGTAAAATACTGAATAAAGGGCTGAACCAAAGAATATACTTAAGTAACTGACCAGATGACTTGAGTTGGAACTGACAGAACGGCTGCTAACCCATTTAGCGACAGATAGTATGATATTATCTGAATACTACATAGCATTAGCCACTTTGGTTTGTCTAGTGTGTATTAATTTGTTCTAGTACCTCTAGCTAAAAAGCTTCCTCATTCTTATAACCTATAAGGAAAAATGGCGGAATGTTGTAAACTCCAGTAAAATAGTGCTTTAAATACAGTAACTGGAAATAAAGTTTTGATTTTAGAATAGGCCTTAATCTTTATTTTATATCAGGTGATCAAGTTTAAATAATCAAACTTTAACTTGTTACTTGTAACTTGTTTATATTAGAGTTTGATAATATAATTTGTTAACATAGGCTACATTTAGATAATGGCAGTACTATCGTAATGCATCAGTAAAGCTGTGTTTACACGAAGCCAGTTGGCGAGCAGGTTATCTGCCACAGGTAACTTGGAATACAGTAGAGGCAGGTAATCTATCCCGTAACCTGCCAGCCCACTGGCTTCGTGTAGACGTGGCTTAACGCATGCTGGTAAATTTTTCACTAAAATAAAACATCAGATTTGAAATTAAAACCAATTACTATCCATTAATAATTAAACTACAACACTTCCCTAACTTGATGCTAAAGGAGAGAAAAGGGATGTTAATACAAACAATACGAGAAAACATTATAAAAAAATAAATTATTTTATAACAAAATATATCTTTCACATATGAGACTGTTTCCACCGGCTGTACATACCGTGAGGAATCTTCCCCATTGAGTATAATTTTTCAATTAGTTCAACAAGTTCTTCATCACTATCCTTTAACAGTTCAGTCAAGAAAACATCCTCGTAAAATTGTCGCCTGAACACAGATGCCTCCAGAACTATTTTCATTATTTCTTTGGTTTGTTTAAAGTGAGCCAACACCTTTGCCACATCCGACTTTCGGCCCTCCTGTAACATTACAAAAGTGGTTGAACATTTGAAAGGATATATTCTTTGTGTTTATTTTTATTTTCTTATGATCGCTGTAAAATTGCCTTGGAAATAGTAAGTTGTAGCTGGTTCATCACAATTACAGTTTCCATGCTGTTCCAGTTTTTGGTCTGATAAAAAGGTACTTTGGTGTTATACTGACCACACAGATAAATCGACTTTCAAATAAGATTTTAATTACCGGTAGTTTGAATAACAAAATCTTCCTAAAACATAGTCTACCTATAGGTTAGGTTAGGTTAATTAATAGGTGTGCTCGGTATAATACCAAATGACCTATGAAATAGTGTCCAATTAAAATTGATTCCCAACATTATCTTTTCTGTAATATTTACTGCCTTCTTAAACAGTGTAGGCCTAGGTGTAAATATATGTTTCAAGTCATCACATACTGGTACTATACTGATTAAGAAGTTATTTATGTTATTAGCATGAAAATTGATCAATTGTCAAATAATTTGCATAGAACATAAGGAAGGTCTCATCTTGGTTTGTTAGTGAAATCCATTTGTTTCCGCCATCGACAGTCCATTGAAAGGTATGGACATGCATGTATTGCTTATGCAAAGACAGGGACTCTTTCATTTCAGTGCAATTTGTATTGTACAGGTGAAAAAATAAAGAAGACATTCATTTTGGAATTTTAAAGAATCTGCAGTCCATGTGTTTCTTAGTTTTCAAGTTAGAAATATGCTATAACTAAAATTTAATGCCAACAACCCTCTTTAAACCAGTGAATATTGCCAATTTTGCAATATAAAAACATTTAATACTCAGCTATAACAATAATGACAATAACCTGTTCAGTGGTGGTGTACTCTCCAAACAGTCCTAGGTAGTCTGTAGACTGACGAAGGTCTGCCAATCGAGTCTTGGCCAAGACTACATAGTCGGCTATCACGCTATGACAGTTGGGTGGAGGGGATGGCAACTACAGAAAGAAATCACAATCAACAATATCCACATTGTTTGAAACTAAAATTGTTTTTATAAACAACAATTAATTTAATTAATTAAGGCCTACTTCTGGTGGTTAGAAATACAAAATACAATATTAATTAACTGTTAGGAATGGTTTACGATTTTCTGAGTAATTACAATAAAAGCACAAAGTTTTACACAGATCAAATAGGATTACAAGAGAGGGAATTTTGTCACCCTACAAACCAGTGAATTGTTGGTGGCTTATTCGGTAGTGTGATGGGATTTATGATCCATGGCAGCGATTTCATGGGTTCGATTTCTGGTTCCTGCCACTATATTTCATCATCAGTTCCAAGCACAGGCCAGACCCCTGTGTGTACTCGGAAAAATCTCAGACCGGCTTTCCTAGCGGCCAATTTTGCTGTAGGATTGTGTTGTATGAGCCTTTTAGCTACTTTTTCCACACCAGTGGCAGGTTATAAGAGGTCAACACGAGAATAATGTTTTGTGTGAATGTGGCAGGAATTGAACCCGTCCTTCTTGCAACGAAGTCTGAGACACAACCACCAGGCAACATAACCAATTTCCTTTACACAATCCAGCACCTGGAAAAACAGTAATCCCTGACCCTTGAGAGTTCAGTTGGTGCTGAGAAACGCAGATTTATTCGTTAGCTGTGAAAACCTGCCTTTACAACCAGAATGTAAAACATGATAACACTTACTTTGTTCACATGAATCTTGAGACACAGAACAGGTTCGTGAGGCACAAGCTCAGATAGAAATTCAAAGAAGTAAGCGAATGCAGAGGCGGGTCGCACTTGTAAGCCTCCGAACCAAGCGCTATACGAACAAAACTTGACTGGGCTCTCAGCACAACACTGCCTCGCGATCAATAGAGCCGAGGAGAGAAGGTTGGCATCCCTGTTGGCACACGCCTGACCCACCCACTCCTCCGTCACACCTGTAAATTAAAATCCAAATAATTTTATTTAAAAAATCATGAATTACATAACATTAAATGTATTTTCCTAATGGAAAGTAAGAAGTAATAAATAGTATATACCAAATCACACTCTTTTTGTAAACCGATCAGAGACATACCTAAACATTTTTATAGCTCATAAGAAGGAAAATTCTATAACCGAATTAATGGATTTCATTTAGTTTAAATGAATATACCTAAAGCTAAAGTTATCATGCATTTTATCTTTTAGTTACACACTTTTTACTATATACCTTTTAGAGATGCAATTCCTTTTACTGACGACAGAACGAACACAGACACTGCCGTCAGCAGCCAACACCAGTTGAATTGTTCTTGTAGAGAAGTAATGCAAAACTTTAACTCCTCAATGAAATCTTCAGCTGTTACGCTTGATAGCACCTAAGACGAATAATACATGTGTTTAAAAGGAAGAGGAGAAAAGTTATTGAATACTATTTGTAGTTAATAGCAGTGATCGATTTGCGGCAGAACAGTGTTCCGGTACCTCTCTTTTGGAAATATAAAAATACTGGCAAAAATAGGTACTAATCACATTAAATAGGTTACAGTTCCGTCACCTCATTTTTTACACATCGAGCACTGGTTATAAGTAAAGTAACCTTGACACACACCTTGTGAGTTGAATACTATACGGATCCGTCTCTATATGCTTAATACAGTAAATAAATGACCCTAAGTAAATTATAATAACCAATGAGGACATATACTGTATTGGTGATATTCTTTATGTGGGTAGGAGAAGTTTACAGGAGAATTAAATTTGGGTTTACAGCGTGATTATCAGTGAAAATGACTTTGGATACTTCAGTAGAGTTCTCATCTAGAGTATGAAGGACTTTCGGTACTTTCCTGTTAAAGGGAACATTCATTATTATCGATGATTTTTTCTAGATATATCGATTTTAACAAATTGAAACATATCAGCTGACAACTACGATAAATATTGTTCAGTATCAACAAACAATAATGAAATGAAACTGATATAAAAAAAATAACCTAACATAACTAACCAAACTTGCTGTGTAACATTTAAAAATTCTGTGTTTAACTCCCTATTCTGTTATCAAACTGAATTTTTAATTGGTACAGCAAGTTTGGTTGTTATGTTAGGTTAGCTTAGAACAGTTTCATTTTTTAATCCATATAATAGAGTATTTTAGACTAAACAAGATCAGTTGTCAACTTGTGACAATCGGAAAACAAAAATATCGATATATCGAGAAAAAAATCATCGATAATAATAATAATGAATGTTCCCTTTAACAGGAAAGTACCGGACTTTCTTATATAGGTATTGTGTTTCTTGTCATATGCGAGTGGTTTAATTTTAGTTAAGGGTAAAATTTACAATATAAGTGCTCTAATTTTTCTCGCATTACCAGCGGTAAAACAATAATTTACAAACAGACTATGTGATGACTAACCTCTTTAAAAACTTGTGAAATGAGAGGTGGTGACTTTGCTGTTGTGAATTTTTCCGCTTGGCATTCAATTGCTTCTTGCACAGTCACAGCTCCTGGATCTACTTGGACCATCATCCGAATCAAAGACAGGCAGAACACCCGTAGTCTAGATGGTACAACTTCCTCGCTGGCTAAAAGGCAAGGGAGAAATGGAATGGGTTCGTCGACTGAAAATGGATCTCGTAGTAATCTGTCTACAAACTGGAAGCAAAAAATAAAACTGGTTACAAACTACGGGCACATATGTGTGCTTGACTAAGACCCAAATTACTGGGGAATCCGGTTCTATCGATAACTAAAAACAATCTTGGCCTGAAAGAAATAGTTACAGCGGAACCTCGATAATATCAACATGTAACCCTTGATAACAAGGGTAATTTTCAAATCCCCTTAAAATTATGTTACCCTTAAAGCCCAATCACATAATTTTACTGTAAACAAAGCAAACCTTGATAATAAGACAGTTGATAACAAGTCTAATTTAATAATCCCCATGAGAATCTTGTTATCGAGGCTCTACTGTAGTACTGTGGTGAGTACATAGTTTCATGTAAAAAATTGTTACTTTTATTCCTGTTAGGGCTTTACAGGACCTGTCAGTTTCACAGTCATTTAAAAGCCTATTTTCCACAAAATGAGACATTCACACTAACCTTCTCCAAAATCAGAGTCAACAGCTGTTGTCCAGGCTTGCAAATGTCCCTGGGTGTGTGACCTCCCAGGTTGACCAACACTCTCAGCAGGGTCGCCACACACTCGGAGAGGTCATCTCTGACAGCATCGTCTTGGCACCAGATCAGGGTCTCGAAGTCTTCACTCAACTGAACTACTGAGTCAGCATTGCTTAAACAAAGAACAAGGTCTACCTACAGGCCATTTTATTTTTTTATTTCTCCCCTATACATAGTAAATAAAATAAAGTAATGTTGAAAAGTAATGTTTTAGTCAAAATTTTGACTTTATGAGTTTTGTTTGAAGTTATGGTGTGCGTACATAGCTACAGACAACACCAGTGGTCCAATTTGGATGAAATTTGGTATGTGGGTACTAATCTGTATTGTATCTCCAGGCGTTTTTCAATTTTTTTTTAAATTTCAATTTTAATGGTGATTTTTCTATAAAAACCCATTAAGTAACAGAAAAATCCAATTTTTTACAAAAACGGCATTACAATTTTCATTAAAATTGAGTATGTTATAATAAGGACTATAGCATACTCAATTTTAATGAAAATTGTAGGCCTAATGCCGTTTTTAACTCCAAACAAAATGGTACAACACCCCCCCCCCCACCCCCATTGTATTAAAATTTACGATTTAAAAGTTATTGCAACTTTTGTTATTTTCCATATAAAATATCATAGCTACTCCCACCGATTACCCATAATTGTTTTTGACAAGAATAGGAGAAAGTATGTGTCAGATTGTGTTTATTTTAAATCTGTTTTACATTCAAGAGTGGTTCAAAATATGGTGATGTAATTTCTACAAAAAGATTTAACATTTAGTCCATAGTACTTACAAGTATATGTACGAGGTAAAATGAATGAAGTTAAGTGTCTGGAGTTGCCACAAACATTCCAGGGAGAGGAGGCTTCCCTGAAAGTGAATAAACAGAATTAATGAATATAATTTTAACAAATATAAATGCTAAACCATGTAGGCCTACCTAACAAAAGAGTGAAACCAAAGTTTTCTCACACAGATTTAACACTGTTTCAATAGTATTTTTAGAGCCATCCTTTTAACTTAGGTAATCGCTAAACCATACCTAAAAATTGAATATAATCATGTCTGGCCTTATATCTTACTCATTCTTGCCTCCAGGACTGGTACAATGACTATGACTACAAAATAAAGATTATGTAGGCCCTACCTTTTGTCTTGTTAGTCCATTAATTAACCAATACAAGAATATTAGTTTCAGAGCGTTTTCTATATTTTAAAATTTCCAAAGATCATAAAATTTTCACAAACTGACACATATTGTCGCAAATGTTTCTCGTGACGATAAGTTTTTGTTGCAATTCAATGGTTTTCAGCGATTTAAGAGTGGAGCTATATAACACCATTGACTAAGGAAATAAAAGTTTGTTTCCCTGTTCTGTGATAACACTCTCAAAATATTCATCTTAGGCTATAATTCTACTATGCCACTACAACAAATTGTGTAACATAACTGTAATTAGTATTTCCTCATAATTAACACCCATTATTAACCTTAAATTACAAAGTATGATCGGCCAGTGTAGAAAGTTAATTTCTAATAATGTCTACCAGAGGTTCTATTGGAAAACCAAGTGGCTATGAAGAATTTATTTTGGTAAAAAAATCAGATAGGCCACCAGATAAATAAAATTTATGGGCCATTCTATAATTAAGTGAAACTTTTTCCCCTCAAGGTTTTCTAAAAAATACGAATTTTTAATATAAACTTGAAATTATTTTATTTATGAAGCAAGATTATATTTAAGAGATCAAAATGTTATTTTATTAAAATAATTTTACGTTTTTAAGAGAAAAAATCTGCAAAGTACCCGAAATGTCCCCACCAACGTTTTTTACAACGCTGACAAGTGATTTATGAAATAAATCATTGAATTTATAGGTTATAACAAATTCTCTTGATTTTAGAATGACCTATATTTTTCTTACCTGTAAATTAAACCAACAATTAATGGCAGAGAAATCACTTTTGTACTTTTTCATATGTTTAAAAACATCTTTTAAATCATCAATCTCTCTTCTAGAATAAGGTGATTTACTTTTTATACAATGTTCTGAAAGTTTGTATAAGCATTCTTCAAAAGATGAACACATTCTGGTTGGGTCACCTACAATTAAAAAAAAAAAAAAAAAACAAAAAAAAAACTGTGATACTCATATTTTACAATCACTTAGAAAAACACATATTATAAGTTGTATATGTAAAATTGTATAAAAATGCCATCAAAAATAGGACAGCCTAACCCAAACATTGAGGCAAAATTGTGAGTTAGGTACTAAGATCTTCAAATTTGAAATATAAATTAATAACACAATAGAGTACTTTCTTGTTAAAGGGAACATTATTATAGATGATTTTTCCCGATATATCAATATTTTTGTTTCCTTTACAATCCATAAGTTATTCATTCTGTTTTAATACATTAAAACACATTTAAATTACAAATTGACAACTGATCTTGTTCAGGTAAAAAAAATAATATATGGATTAAGAATATAACTGTTCTAAACTAACCTAACATAACTAGCCTAATCAAACATGCTGTACCATTCCAAAATTCCGTTTCACAACAGAAAGAGCCTTGGGGAATATCAAACGGAACTTTGAAATGTTACAGCAAATTTGGTTAGTTAGGTTAGGTTATTTTAGAACAGTTTCATTTCAGTATAATTTTTATATTTTTATACCAAACAATATTTATTTATCATAGTTGTCTGCTGATATTTTTCAATTTGTTAATATCGATATAGGATAGAAACATAAGCACCAACCTTAACTTACTTTTGTAGGTTTGCTGCAACGGCAAAGGGAAAGTATTTTTTTCTATAAAATGTGAATATAGTAGGCTAAGGCCTAAGCCTAAATAGTAGGCCTATGAAATAAATAAATTTGCCAAATTTTATAAATATTACACGAGTTCTACATGCCTTCATAACAGCTAAAATAGTGTGTAGAGTAGAATGCCAGATATAATTCAAAAAGCATTTCTGCACAAATGTAGTTTTGTTTTTTGCAAAGATGCACACCATAGCACAGAAAACATACTACTATAACCCAGAATGCCAACCGCGTGGTAAAAAGCATTAAGTGTTTTGAGAGAGCTTTGCCTGTCAAACGTAGGCAGCGCCACCAGCGTTGCTATGCTGAGTGCATGTATATCATATCACAACCACTTAAGGTACAGATGCCTCCAAACAAATTTTTAGTTTTGTATATTATTACGGCGATATCTTGAGAAATATTCAGCGGTGAAAATTAATGGTAAGCCGGGTTTACACGATGCCAGTTGGCGAGACAATTGTCAGGAGACAACTGACTGGCTTGGAATTACTGGCTTCGTGTAAACACTTCAGGCCAATTGGCCTGAAATTCAGTTGTCTCCGGGAGTAGACTGAGGACAATGAGCTGGGCCCAGTGAGGCCCCCACCCCTCAAAAACCCAGTTGTCGTGACAATTGGCGCCGTGTAAACAGTGTAGAGGCCAATAGCACTGTCTTATCTTTTGGCAGTAGTACCCTGGTTCACTGTAAAATGTCTGGGCAGGTGTTGGTCACGTGTAAACAGGTTCTCGTTCAACTTGCCTGGCCTACGACAATTCCAAAACCACGTAATGCCAATTGGCAAAGACAATTGTCTCGCCAACTGGCATCGTGTAAACCCGGCTGTATATTTGGATTCAGGAGGTAAAAAAGTATAAGATATCAAAATTAAAAATTCGTTTGGAGGCATCTGTACGGAATAAATACCAAGGTCTCTTCCTTAGGATGTATTGGTTCAACAATACAATATTATTAGTTGGTTAAAGTTTAAAGCCAATTCCAATACAGAACACTTAGCCTACTAACTTACCCTATACCTTATAAAAAGTGACTCGTTAAAAAAATGGACTTTGCAAACTATTCTAGGCTTGCTGTGGAGTCTAGTCAAAATAATCCACATGGAGTAGTTTTAGTTTTATAATTAAGTTGTACTTATTGACTTTTGAACTTTATTTACCCTACGTGACAACCTGATGAAGATAAAACCATTATGAATCGGATCGGATGTGGTAGGTTAAGGTTATGTGTACTGTGTACATACAAGTTTGTATTCATTGGTGTAGGCCTAGTGGCCTAGTTATGTTTTCCACCACAATTACACTAACTAATAGTCAAACCACACTTTAAAACCTACAGAAACTTTATTAAGGCTAGAACTTTGACTTAAAGTTGCTTATTAAATATCAATTACGGAATGTCAAGAAACAACGATATTGAACAAGTAGGATAAAAACATTTCAATATTTTACATAAACACCCCGTTCCCGCCATTACTCACCTACGCCGACGCCGACGCGACCGACACTCGACAGCCGACAGCCACACCGATCATCTGTGCAGTGGAAGTGTGAAATTTATTTACCGGCTAATGCCTAACGGGCGGCGACTTAACATATTTCATGAAGCTTCTACCACCAAAAGTACAATTAATAAACAAAGAGTAACTTGTTTAATTTCAATAGGGCCGTGCCATACCGCACATGGTTGAGCTTGTTCAACAGTCAAACAAGCTCCACCGATAGAGCCTGTGCCTGTGAGAGAGCGGACATTTCTGTACATATGCCCTCAATTTCTCAATCAAATCAATTCAAATCAAATCAAAATCAATGGGCACAAGTAGACGCATATACTCACTAACAAATATTACGGTGTAGATAACAGCTACTTTATATAGATTTAACTCTCCTTGTAGTACGTCAAAGTTATTTTTGCGGGCAAAAAATTCTAAACTATTAGCAAAACTTATTATTTTTTTTTGTTGCTTTGGCTCTACACCTTGGCATTTTCCAATAAGCCAATTCAAACGTTTTTATTGGAAAGCGGTCCAAACCATCGATATCTATTACTACAACTGTAGTAATTATAGAGATCGATGGTCCAAACCCATTAAAGTTTATTGGATGTGTCGGGCTACCGGGGTCCCTCCCACACTGGAGCCATAGACGCTAACCAATTAAAGCTAAAGGTTAATGACAGGGAGGCTCCGGGATGTTATAGAATTTGTTGATTACACTAAAATGCAAAATAAGGTAATACTGAACTTTGTTTGTGCTATATTGCATTTTTTACCTGGCACTTTTGGGGTAAACGCCTATTTCACCCTGAAAATCGTGAAAAGCTCTAGAAGTCGGAAACTTTTGGCACTTGAAAAATATGTTTCGGACTTTTATGTATTTTCTTTATTTTTAAGTGTCAGTAACTTAACCTAACTTGCTATTTTAATGATTTTCAAACCTGGTTTTCTGGGTAAAGACGGCATTTGCCAAAAAAGTGAGAGAGATAAAGCGTTTGAAATGGCCTAAAAATATCAAGAATAAGACAAAAGTAAAAACAATAATTCAAGTGCCAAAATCGCAGATTTTTAGCACTTTTTGTGATTTTCAGGGAGAAAGAGTTTCCCACTAAGGTGTCAGGAAAAAAGTGCATAAAATAGCCTTATTTTAGTAAATAAGGTAAAAAAAATTACCCAAAATGTAATTAATTGAAGTGACATGGTTCGAACAAATCACGTACTAATTGAACGATTGGAACGGTTAGGGTTCACTTACTCTACGAATCATTGACACAATGAGCCTCCAAATATGTAATTCTTAAAACACATGGCTCACTTACTCTACAAATCATAGTCTATACGAGCTTCGTAAATAATATTGAAGGTTCACTTGCACTACAGGCTCGTATACTATACGAGCCGATCAAAAATATCAAATAAATGAAGAGGGTTCACTTACTCTACAGATCATAGTGCCTATGAGCCAAGCGTATGAATTCTTGAATAATTCAGGAATAAGCTCGTATAGTATACGAGCCAAAATACTGAATTTAAATAAATTACAGGAGTAGGCTCGTATACTATACGAGCCTATTTCATGATAACTATTACACAAATAGAAGACGGCTCACTTACTCTACAGTTCATTGGCACAATGATCTGTAGAGTAAGTGAACCCTCTACAAATATTAGAAGGCTCACTTACTCTACGGTTCATTTAGCTACTCGTCGCGCGGTTTGCAGTGCATCGTTGCAGGCGTGTATGGTAAACCAATACCGCAGTTCTGCCGTTCTGCCTTACTTCTGCCGTTTACTAGTCTTGCAGCGTGAAAGAGAGCTTGTTATGTTAATGCATTGTTGAATTTTTAACTTGTGTACTCGTTGCTAGAAATCAAGCAATTATCAAGTACCGGTATTACAGGAGCTATTTTAGGAGTTATTACAGACTTAATTTTCAATTAATTAAAAAGACTCAAGTAAAAGCTTATGCAACTAATGGAATTACTTACTGTGTTATGAACATTTCTATATAATTAAAGTTGTAAATATTTTAAAATTGTTTAGAAGATTGCCTTTTTAGTGTTTTCTACAAACGTGTCTCAACTTATACACATAGACTGGTGGAGTGGTAATTTATATTTCTAATCATTTAACTTTTAATTATGAACGCTTTCAGTCACGTGAAGTTGAATTAATTAAACTGACATTAGTTTTTACCATAAATGATAAACCTTTTGAAATTGACTTAATAGCTTTGTATAGAAACTATAAATATGATTTTTATTTTTTCCGCAATGATTTGCAACGTATTTTGAGTAATTGTAAAAACACAGCTATTATGTTAGGCGATATAAATTTATGCATTTTAGAACAAAATAACAGTGTCATTGATTATTTAAGTATAATGAACTCATTTGGTTTTGAGTCGTTTATAAATGAGCCGACTTGGGGGAGAGAAAATTGGGTAAAGTGTTTAGACCATGTATTCATCAGAAGTAAGACTAATTTAATTTTTCATAGTAATTTAGAAAACTATGACTTTACTGATCATGCTGGAGTTAATGTAAATTGCGTAACAAGTTGTGATAGTGCTTTGAAAGAGGAGTTTGTCAAGGCTGTAGATCATTCAATTTTAAAAAGAAGGTTGGCTGAAGTGAGCAGGATGCCAGTGTTTGATTGTGAGGATGTTGATAAATCTCTAACAGTTTTTTACGATATTTATAATAAATGTATTGAGCAATCAAGTTTTTTAAGGCCTATTAACAGTAAAAATATGCATCGAACTCCATGGATATCGGACACACTAATTAAAAAGATAAATGAAAAAAAACAGACTTCACTCTCGATTGAAAAAGCACTATGACATACATTTGTTTAATAGATATAAAGAACTCTCTAGAGAATGTTCTAATTTTAAAAGACGGGAAAAAATTAATTATTCTTCATCTAAAATTGAAGCAGTAAAGGGTGACTCAAAGTCTTATTGGAATATATGCAAATCGATTATGAGAAAGTCAAAAAATGAACTAACATCGATTAATATAGATGATAAAATTGTACAGGTTATGAGGGTAATGAAAAAATAGTTGCTGACTCATTCAATAACTATTTTACTGGTATGCCGGATAAGCTGATTAGAGAATTGTATGGGCCGGGATTCCCCGCCATGCCGGATATCGGTCTAGCGTGCAGCTCAAGGTTACGTTTATCTGAAATTACTGAGGTAGAATTAGAAAGTTTAATCTTAAGCAAACCAAATAAACAGTCTGTTGGCTTTGATGGTATTTCCATAAATACTATAAAAGAAAATGTTAAGATTTTTGTCCCAATATTACGTCACATTTTTAATTTATCTATAAAGCTGGGTTACTTTCCTTCTAGTCTAAAAACAGCACTCATTGTTCCAGTATATAAGGCAGCTGATCCATTGCAAATGAATAATTACCGACCGATTTCACTTTTAAATACCTTTGCTAAGCTGTTAGAAACTTGTGTGAAAAGCCAATTAGTTAAATATTTTTCAGATAACAATTTATTTTCAAATAATCAATTTGGGTTCATGAAAGGGAAAAATACTGACCTAGCAGTTGAAAGACATATAAGCGAGATAGTTAATCATGTTGATGAGCGTAAACCAACAATAGGAGTTTATCTTGACTACTTGACTTTACTAAGGCATTTGACTTAGTTAATCAAGACATATTATTACATAAACTAAAGTTATATGGAATTCAGGGCAATAGTTTTAAGTGGTTTGAGACTTTTTTAAATGAAAGAAAACAGATGGTTAAAATAAAAAACGTTTACTCAGATGTATGTTCTCAAAGACTTGGCGTTCCTCAAGGGGGAGTGCTTGGCCCAATTTTGACATGTTATCAATGGATTTAAAATCGAAGATATATGCTTTTGCTGATGATACATCTTTAGTATGCAGTGCTAACAATTATGATTTACTGAGGATGAAAGTTAATAATGATTTGGACGTAATATCAAATTGGGTGATAAGAAACAAATTAATCGTCAATACTTCTAAATCTAATGCAATGATATTTACTTACAAACCTCATTTGACAGAGTCGTTGAAAGAAGAGATCGATCTACGTTGTCATTTAGTTACTTGTTTTCGTGATTGTTGCTGTACAAAAATTAATTTTGTTGATTCGGTCTCAAGTGTCTTGGCCTTCATATAGGTTCAGATTTAAAATGGCATACACATGTTAATCAACTATGTAAAAAACTTAGAAAAATTAACTATAATTTCTTTCATTTGAGACAGTTTATTACTCCTTAACTTCTTAGAACGCTATATTTATCCTGGTTTGAATCTACTCTTAAGTATATGGTTTAATTCATTGGGGAGGGACGTTTTCAACAATACTTAAACCAATTGTAATAATGCAAAAACTTACATTAAAAACTATTTGTGGTGTAAAGAAATTTGACTCAGCTGCACCACTGTTTCAGTACTTAGACGTAATGCAGCTTAAGAAGACATATTTATATTCAATTTTATGTTATTATAAAAAGTTTACTAGTTTATTTCAAACAGTTGTTATTAATAGGAATACGAGAAACTATACTGAGGGTATGCTTATGATACCACCTGTTATGAAAGACACAAGCAGGTTACAGTGTTACCATAAAGTAGTAAAATGTTTTAACTTTAATTTTAGAGTACTCAAAAATATGCAGGATTTGAAAATTGAAGTATATAAAAATAAATTAAAGGAATTGATAAAGAATAACTCAATCAAACAAACAAAGTGAAATAATTAATTATCGAATGTAGCCTATACCGTTAAACGATTTGTAAATATAAAATAGTATGTAAGAGTGAATAACCAGTGAAGGGATGAACCATAAGTGTTTGAGAAAAATCAAATTAGATATTAGGTATCAGTGACAGTGAATTTAAAGTTAAACAGAAAAAAAGACAGTTAAAATAAAAT